AGACATGTCTGGAAGAAACTGGCCCCCGAACTGAAATTTGATAGTTAATGCGGTCCTCGGACTGACAAGTTTGGAGACCCCTGCTTTAGGAGAAGCACTAACAACGATTTTGAATGTGAGCTAACATTCACGTATGCTACCATATGACTGTTGGATTCGCTGTATAAAACCCTTGAATTTTAATAATTGCTTGGTTCCAGGTTAATTGAACCAATATTTAAAATCTATATTCGCTACATTTTTATTCAAAATTATTTTTTTTTATTAAATAGGGTACTTTCTAAAAATAAAAACAGGTCCTTCAAAAGTCAAACTGGTTTGTGCACTAGACACAGTTAAATTAGGCCACTCATTATGAGCAGTCGTAGCGACCCACTCTGGCGCCCGAACGAACAATCGATTTTTGCACCCCCCCCCCCCCCCATCATTTATTTATAGTTATTCACGTTGATTATTTTTTTATCAGTCACTCCCCCTTTGTATTTTAGTGTCACATTATAGATTTAGTTTAAGATGTCTGTAAAGCTAAGTATCAGTCTCTTTTCTTAACTTTGTGTACAATTCAGTAACGCAGCTCAGAATAAGCTTTTTACATTTTTATTTTACCCCGTTTGGCGCCCACTGGGGTCGACCGCCCCAGCCGGCTTCCCTTAGCTACGCCAGATTTTGACGACCCCTGACTTAGTCCACAAAAGTCAACAATTTGAAGGGATGGAGTGTGGGAAATGTCACGTTAACAAAAAAAAAATTAAACCATTCAGATTAAGCGCTTCTTAATTTTTTTTTTAAACTTATTTCGTTTAACAATCATTTACCTACTTACATTTTTGGGTTCATTGGAGAAAATAAAAAATGTTTCCAGATCCTATTTTTTTTTCTAAACCAGCGGAAGCTGTTTTTCCCCCCTCTTCTTTTAACCCCCTCTGCAACTAATAATCCTAATCAACCCCAAAAAAAAATATGTACACACACGTTACAATTCATCCATTCAAACTAGAAAGGAGGGAGGGGAAGACACCTCGTATGTATTGGGTCCACAGAGACACTATGAACACAGCACCTGGGGTAGAGACATGTCATTTTAAACTGCTTTTATGTCAGCTCGGCAGAGCGGCTAGGGTGATATAAAAAAATAAAATAAAAAAAACATTAGACCGCGCTCTCTATCACAATGGACCCCTCTTTCCTGTGGTGAATATGAGACGCGCAATCTTTTTTAATCCCCGTGAAACCGATCTTTTGAACATTTTCCAAAAAAAAAGGGGGGATGGGAGTATTATTATACAAAGGTTTATGACTCGATGTTTCTCAAAGTGTTACAATGGCATAACACGTAATACTACATATTCTATGCCACTATATATACTATGTTCATAATATGTACACTGAATGTATTACTTACATTTTAAAAAGAAATGTGAGGCGGAGGTTTTTAGAAAAGCGTTGTAACAAACTAGGGTACTAGAGAAAACTTTGTGAGAACTGCTGCTATATATTCTGTGGCTTTTTTTTTTTTAAATACAAATGAGTCATTTCATTGTAAGAAAAAAAAAGGAAAAATAATTGTATTCAGGACAAGAGGGAAAAATAAAAGGGGATATCGGAGGAAGGTTAAAAAAAAAAAAAAAAGACCGATAACAATGCATTGGACACTCTGTACATTATATTATTACAAAGCAATTATTTAGATAGGATTTTTAAAAATGACTTCTGTTAGACAGTGTGACACTATTTAAACTAACCTTCTCAAAAGTTGGGGGCAGGTGGGGCAGAGATGACATGAAAGTGGTGGGGGGGGGGGGGGGGGGGGGGGGGGGGGGGAGAGAGAGAGATTTCAATATTGGTAAAAATTAATTATGAAAAAGTGGACATTGAGAATTGTGTAAATGTGTAAAAATTGTTTAATATAATCCATACATTTTTCTAGAACTTTGTTTAAAAAACTTATTATTTATACCCATGGATGAAATATTCACACACTAGTATTTAAATCACTGTGTGTGGAAGGAGGGGTGTGGGTAGGGAAGGGGGGGGGTAAGATAAGATTTTAGAAGCACTGTATAAAGAACCACTATCATAATTTATAACCATCAACCATGACTGCTTGGCTTCAATAATGGACTGGCAAACCTTGGTTTTGTTTGTAGTTACTGGAGTGTTATTTTATGGCAGAGGAGTTATACAGTATATCAACAGGGTTCAAGGTAAGTGTGGTATCACTTGTGTGTTAGACAGTATATCAACAGGGTTCAAGGTAAGTGTGGTATCACTTGTGTGTTGGACAGTGTGGTAAATGGGGTTTAAGGTAAGTGTAATATCAGTTGTGTGTTGGACAGTGTGGTAAATGGGGTTCAAGGTAAGTGTGGTATCATTAGTGTGTTAGACGGTGTGATATCAACAGGGTTCAAGGTAAGTGTGCAGTCACTTGTGTGTTAGACAGTGTGATAAATGGGGTTCAAGGTAAGTGTGCAGTCACTTGTGTGTTAGACAGTGTGATAAATGGGGTTCAAGGTAAGTGTGATATCACTTGTGTGTTAGACAGTGTGATAAATGGGGTTCAAGGTAAGTGTGCAGTCACTTGTGTGTTAGACAGTATGATAAATGGGGTTCAAGGTAAGTGTGCAGTCACTTGTGTGTTAGACAGTGTGATAAATGGGGTTCAAGGTAAGTGTGCAGTCACTTGTGTGTTAGACAGTGTGATAAATGGGGTTCAAGGTAAGTGTGCAGTCACTTGTGTGTTAGACAGTGTGATAAATGGGGTTCAAGGTAAGTGTGCAGTCACTTGTGTGTTAGACAGTGTGATAAATGGGGTTCAAGGCAAGTGTGATATCCCTTGTGTGTTAGACAGTGTGATAAATGGGGTTCAAGGTAAGTGTGCAGTCACTTGTGTGTTAGACAGTGTGATAAATGGGGTTCAAGGTAAGTGTGCAGTCACTTGTGTGTTAGACAGTGTGATAAATGGGGTTCAAGGCAAGTGTGATATCCCTTGTGTGTTAGACAGTGTGATAAATGGGGTTCAAGGTAAGTGTGCAGTCACTTGTGTGTTAGACAGTGTGATAAATGGGGTTCAAGGTAAGTGTGGTATCACTTGTGTGTTAGACAGTGTGATAAATGGGGTTCAAGGTAAGTGTGATATTACTTGTGTGTTAGACAGTGTGATAAATGGGGTTCAAGGTAAGTGTGATATCACTTGTGTGTTAGACAGTGTGATAAATGGGGTTCAAGGTAAGTGTGATATCACTTGTGTGTTAGACAGTGTGATAAATGGGGTTCAAGGTAAGTGTGATATTACTTGTGTGTTAGACAGTATGATAAATGGGGTTCAAGGTAAGTGTGATATCACTTGTGTGTTAGACAGTGTGATAAATGGGGTTCAAGGTAAGTGTGATATCACTTGTGTGTTAGACAGTGTGATAAATGGGGTTCAAGGTAAGTGTGATATTACTTGTGTGTTAGACAGTGTGATAAATGGGGTTCAAGGTAAGTGTGATATCACTTGTGTGTTAGACAGTGTGATAAATGGGGTTCAAGGTAAGTGTGATATCACTTGTGTGTTAGACAGTGTGATAAATGGGGTTCAAGGTAAGTGTGATATTACTTGTGTGTTAGACAGTGTGATAAATGGGGTTCAAGGTAAGTGTGATATCACTTGTGTGTTAGACAGTGTGATAAATGGGGTTCAAGGTAAGTGTGATATCACTTGTGTGTTAGACAGTGTGATATGGAGTCATTAAGATGTCAGAGGGTGTAGTGTCACTAGGATGTCATTTAGTCTGGAGTCACTGGGATGTAAGAGGGCATGGAGTCATTAAAATGTCAGAGGGTGTAGTGTCACTAGGATGTCATTTAGTCTTGAGTCACTGGGATGTAAGAGGGCATGGAGTCATTAAGATGTTAGAGGGTGTAAGGGTGTAGTACACTAGAATGTCATTTATTCCTGAGGCACTGAAGTGTTGTATGCAGTTAAAGGAGTATTAGATAGTGTAGAGTTACTGGGGTGCTGATGAAGTTTTTGAAATGTGGACATTGGGGATCAAATCACCATGAGACCAAAATAAATTTGTATTTATTATGGACAGAGTTGAAAATTTGACATAAAATTCAATATGACTGCAGAAATGAAACATTTTTAAAAACATCCCCAATAGCTTTGTAATGTCTAGGATAAAGTTAAAAGAGGACTGATATAAAAATATGAGTTCATCAACCCTTTAGCAATCTGCATCACTAGACTTTTATACAACCTCAGCAGTTTCTCCTACTACTTTTAAAAGCAACTAAAAAAGATGTGTTCCTTTGAAGTTGATATTAATATACTTTGAAAATTGTTTTGTCATTTTAATTACCATACAATTAAGGTTGATTCATAAAAACGTCATTCTAATTTTATGAATGCTTTGACTGAAATCTTTCGTTTTAAAAAGCTCATTTGTATGAATGTTTCAGTTTTAAATTTGGAATATTTTTCAAACAAGAAGAAAAAACATGAGCAAAGGGAGATAATTCATTATAAATTGTGAGCAAATAACTTTTCTTTTGGTGCAGGATATGCACAATTAAATAACTCATTTTAAAAATAATTTAATTATATTTTATTTACTTTTAAAAGCATTTTAAAAAAAAATAAAAGCTCATAATTAAGTTAATTTGTTTAGAGCATAGACTTTTTATTTTAAAAAGGAGGATTAAGAAAACTTAGAAATTGGTATTATATAAAAGAGGAAATGGAAGCAGTACTTTTCCAGAAAAACTTGTTCAAAGAAAGAAACTAATTTCCATGCTCTAACAAAACAAGTGAGCACAGCTAAAATGAAGATATTACAGTACTAGAGACTAAGAACTGACTCAGGTTACTAAGCCGTTAAAAAAGTGTACTCAAATCTATTTTTCAAAAGGGTCAAACAATTCAAAATTTATCTTACTTATAGAACACTTTCTGTCTAGAAATAGTAGAAAGGGTTTAGAAAAAAAAAACACTGTTAAAAATAAAATGCACTTACGGTGTGGTGTACCGCCATAGCCACTGTCGTTGAAGTCACGTCTGGTGATGTAAGCGCCGCCTGGAAACCGTCCCCTCAGACCTTTGGTCACATTGTGCCCTTTCAGCCAACCCTGCAACATAGTCAAGTTATAACATAAATAAATAATTAATTACTTTTATCAGAATAATAAAAAAATTTTTATTTTATTTTAACAACCTGTATGCAAAAATATGATTAATTAGATAGTTTACAATGTATACAAGTACTTTAATAAGAAATGAAGGGAAATAATAAAAAATTAGAACTTCCACACAGTTGGAGTGGCATTAAAATATTTCACTTACATGTACAAAAAATAAGAATAACAAAATGTAGACGAGCTAACTTAGCTGATCTAAATTGTATTGAATGATTTTTCTCCATTTTCCTTTTATTTGTTATAAACTCAGGTACTTGAGAGGGGTTTTATTTACAAAGTTTTTCACTATATTCAATATGTGCATTTGATGGTGAGTTAATCAATGACATTGAAGCTATGAGTGCTAATCAATGACTCCGAAGCCCTGCAACAAAGGCTGATGCTAAAAAACCAGCCCATTAAAACTCAATACTTGCCTCTGGCTTATGCCTTCCTCCTTTAGCATTCAAATCAATGGAGGCTACATCAACTTCAAGAGCATCGCCAGGATCAATTGGGATGTGCTCTTTGCCATGACCATACTCATGGGGGTTGTAGCGGTTGACGCACTCGAAGTAAAGCACCTCCCCGTCTGACATGGCTGATGGGGGCTCCTGTCATGAATGCTTAGGACTGCCTAAGAAAGAAAAAAATTATAATTAGTTTATTTTTACCATCTATAACAATTTTAAGATGCCATTCATGTGAATAAATATTAGATTAATTGTAACCTGGTGGTATTTGTAAAACTATTTTACTTAGAAGACAGAACACTGAAACAAGAAATAATGATTGAAAGCAATAACATCAGTTTATTTTGTATTGAGCCTAAAATAAAAGTGTCTTATAATAATTTCTTTGAGTTCAATGACTAGTTTTTAGCACCAAAACTACCCAGTTCCATCATTCACAACTCTGATAATTGGTTCCTAATCTGCAATACTGCTTGTAAACAGAACTGTAGATTAATTTTAGTAAAGTATATCAGAACAGTAACCTCATGTGGTAGTATAACACTCTTAAACCTTGTCTGTTGGTAAATTTTACAAATATTTGTCTTTTAAAACGTTTGAGTATAGTTAATGTGCATGCTAAACAAACAGAAATAAATTGTAAATAAAATGAATGCTTGATAGATATGTCACATTTTAAAATGGTAACAGGAACAAAAATACCATGCTATACAACTGCAACTCAGTGCAACACCATGCAGATATAAGTTCCTGCTTGTCTGAATCACATAAATATAATTGATTATATTTTTTACTAATAGACTGTACACTGTAAATGCAGGCTAGAAATTACTTCTGGGTGGTTTCAGGTTATATAAGCATATATTAATTGTCTGGGGTAATAAGGTTCTTTCTGTAGGGCTTAAAGAATAACAGATGTGATATTTTTTGGAGAACAAATGTGTTGAATGAAAACATATAATTCTGCCTACTGGTTGTTTAGGAAAATGCGGATTTGAGAGTTGGGTTTGATTGAAAATAAGAAACATAATTACATGCTTAATAAAAGCTTCCAAAATATTTTTCAAAGCTTTATTCCTTAAGCAAATTATCATATATTTCCTAAGATTATAACACACATCAACCAATGCTTACAATACTTACAATAATTTTTTTTAAATCACAAGCAACCACTAAAGAACTGATGTTGGCAAAACATCCAAATTTAAATTTTAACAATATTCAACCTATATTTAAAACTTGATTTTAAAGCACAGTATAGTGTGTGTACATAGTTACCAAAACATTGCATATTAGATTAATCTATATTTGTTAAAAGTTGCTATTTTCCAAACATAATATTCTTCACATCAAAATAATATCAATTTTATCTCTAAAGCAAGTGATAAAAAACAGGAAGAGAGTCCTATTTTAAGCTAAGTTTGCATCAATGAATTTTACGTGCATGTTTCTAAAAGCCACACAATGTCAAAGTATTTTGCTTCTCAAAAAGCAAATGGGAAATTTATTAATCTATTTTTTACTACTTGTAAAACTTTTTTTTTTTTAATTTTTACAAGATTTTAAAAAAAATTATTTTTTTTTAAGATAATAAAATCACAATGTTTGTTTTGAGTTCAATCATAAGTACCATTCAGAGGTGTTTCAAGCTTCTATCAAACATATGCCCATGTGTCCTGGGCACAGAAGGGAAAAGATGATAACATGTATGGCAGTATGCAACAGACGTAACTCAAATAATATATGTGTAAGAACAATAGTTGATACACAATGAAAGAAATTCTAACAGCTGTTGAAATAAAACTAGAGAGACACTTAAACTAAACCTTCACCTGACAACTATGAGACAAAAAGGACTGAAGAAAATGAGTTTAAATACTTTTAAAGATACAGGAATGATGTAGGTTTTAGGACAAGCCACTCAGTAAAAAAAAGTTAAGCTTCCCTTTCAAACCTGATGGTCTATGGGGCAAGTGAAGATGAGTTCACTTGTTTCTGTGACCTCGGCACATGAAGAGATAGTGTGGTCAGCACTATGCCCAGCCGCCTTTACTCTCCCTAACGTGAGTTAGGTACCCATCAGAGTTGGGTGGACTCAGGGATGGCGTACTGACTTGAACCCGGATTCGAACTCGAGACTTGCGGGTTAGCAGTCCAGCTTTCTACCGCTAGACCACTCCGTCCCATAAGCCACTCAGAGCAGAGGCAAAATGATATCTTGGACTGTCCATTAGAACTTACTAAATAAATGAATTATATAATATGAAGTGGCTACTCGGAAAAAAAAATTCCGCCCCAGTGTCTCCATCTGCTCGGCAGAAGATACGAAACTCAATAGTTCCTTAATAGCTGCGCTAGGGTTAGGTTTAGAGCTAGGGTTTGGGTTATCCGGTTTGTTTGTAAATACACGCATTCGCAGTACCATTGAAAATATCGACGCGAAGAAAGGCTGTAGTTTCTCTCCATTGCGCAAGCGTTTCTTTTTCCGGCTAGAATTAGCCTATTTGATATCACTAGCAGAAATATTTAGTCCTAAATTTCACTTTTTAACGTTTACAAAAATTTAGCCTTGCACCGAATTATTAAAATAACAGTCATACAAGTATCTTTGGTTCTTATCTAGATACAAACAGCATTTAGAGAAAAGGCCTGAGAATTAAAGCAGAAGAAAAATTTGTTTTTAAAATGAGTAGTTAAAAAATTAAAATATAAAATTTAATAGACCTAGATATTTTACTTTGCTAATTTAGTAATTAAACTAAATTTTAATGTAGGTTGTCTATATTTTTGCTTTAAGTTTATTTTTAAGGGGCTGGGTTTGTTCTGCCAGGGCTTCAAAGGGTCAATTCTAAATATTATCCAGTTTATTTTCTAGTAGGACCTATACTGCTATACGATATCACCATACGCTATACAGTATACTATATAGTCTACTCAATAGGCCTAAGCATATTCAATAACTAATATGACTTAATGTCTAAAGCCACTCATGACTAAGACTAAAGGTAAGTAGTAAAGGTTCCTTAAAGAATAGAGCAGGCATATAAAAATACTAATGAACTAATATTCTAGTATTTTAGACATCTACTGTAAAAGTAAAGACTATAAATGGGTGTGGTTTGCACTTGACTTAGTAGTAGATCTAGTAGTAGATCTAATATGTATTTATGTATGTATGTAAGTATAGTCAAAATGGAAAGTTTAAGACAAGATTTCTAGTCTAGATAATCTCTTGGGCATGACAAGCCTCAAAAACAGTCAACAATATTCAACGTGAGAGCTTGTTTTAGTCTAGATACTCTAGATCTAGATTAGGCCCAGATCTATAGTCTATCTATAGTTATAGAAATAGATTCTAGATCTAGAAGTGTAGAAAGTAGAAATCTAGACTTATCTATATAATATATATATATATAATTCTCTTCTTGGAGACGCTAGAAAACATTCAGCTGTAAGCGCGCTTCCTACCACCCCACCCCTACATGGTCTGGTGAGCTGTGGTTCACGCTAAATGTTTACAATCGTAGAGCCGGGTTTAGTGATGGCCATGAGGGGCAGATAATTTAGTTTGAAACGATTTTATAATTATTAATTAGGGGAGGTAACTAAGAGGAGGCTGCTTTCACGGGGGGGGGGGGTGACTCGCTGCTTCTTAGTTACTAGCCAAAGCTAAAGGCTTTAAGACTTTAAGCTAAAGTCTAACTAAAGGCAAGGCCTTCTTACTCTTTTTAGTCTTGGACTAGCAGTCTAACTCTAAAGAGTAAAGACAGCAGTACTCTAAAGAAGAGACTAAGAATGATTGATTACTGTCCAAGATCTAGATCAGCATCTTGACCACAATTCACTATTTTAATTTATTAGAATCTAGATCTAGATCTAGACTTAGAGCCTATATATTATATCTAGAAGAATACAATTATTAATTTTAAAATTTGGCTTAGGCTAACAATATTTAGTTAACTTAGTATACTAATGAATTGTTTATTATATAAGTATAGATAGAAAATATATTGTTTCATGCTCTAACAATTTTAAAGTTGCATGTTTAATAAAATATTGTTTTAAAATGGAAAAATAAAAAGTTGAAATTAATTAGGAATCTCATCTCATGGTATAAGGTTTTAAAAACACGTATATGAATTATTACCTAATAAGTTTTGGTTACTTCTTACTGCGTACAAAATAATGTGTTTAAAATGAGTGTATTGTTATTTTTCGCAAAAAGTTCACAGAAATTTACTAAACAGGAAACTATACTCTGCAGTATCCCGCCATGTTGGTACTAATCACGTGATTTAAATGATTTCCGGTGAAATCACTGACATTTTCTCTCTGACAAGATCTAGGCCTATGATATATGACTACATCTATCCTAAAATGAACTAGAGCGCCTACATCTTAATTAGGTTACCATCGTATGAACTGGAATCTAGGGATCGTGCGCATTTTATATGACTCACAAATTTAACATTTATCCACCCCTAACCTTTATAACATTATACTGACTAATGACTATAGGCCTAAACTTTTTTTGAAATGACCCCCAATCTTCGTAACTTTCAGACACAAGCAGAAAAAAAAAGGGCCACCCCGCAAAAAAAATGTTGCCCCCCCCATATATATATATATATATATATATATATATATATATATATATATATATATATATATATATATATATACATACAATAAAAGAATTTGAACATAGGAATTATACTCATTTCTGGCCTGATCGGGTTTTTAAAAAAAACATTCTTTGTTGTTGTTGTTTTTTTTCAATTAAATCAAATTACAACAACATCTCATGCGTGTGAGTGCATTAGTGTGTTTTGAAAATCTCTTTTATTTTATTACGGCTATAATATTAATATTTCTAAACTTAAAGTTGGTCAAAATAATATGAACTATCAAAGCTTTGGATATGTAATGGTTTCTCGTGTTATGTTTATTTTTATGTCTTTTTGCATTTATATTATTATATCTTTAGTTTGTATTTTTTTAAAAAATGATTAAGAGAATTAATTGCGTTTTAATTTGTTTAATGCAAATCTATTTAAAAACTGCTTAAGAGCACACATATTTGGCAATTTTAAAAAGGGAAATAAGTCATGGAAGTGGTTTAAACGTTTGCCTATCTTTCACAATGGTTTAAAAACAAAGGGAAACAAAGAATATAAAAGAGCGTGGGATGTCTGCAGAATAAAGATAATCCAACCGCAGCTACAGTATTCTTTTAACAAAACAACCATCAAGTCAAAAATGAAAGAAAATTAAGTTTCTTAACTAAAAAAGAATTGATTATGGTCGACTATGGGCCAGTAAAGTTATTCAACTTCAACTAAACTTATGGGCATGTTCTGCCTCACCCCCACCCATCAATTGAATCTATCGTCACCCCTCCCTACCCCAACGGGTTCCGCTGTTGTCTTTTTGGGGCCAAGCCACTTTCGTGATGTGATCTTTAGTTGTGGCTGCTTTTTTTTCTCTAAAAATTTTGACAACATCATCCACAACACATCAAGTGGACATCCAACAAGGTGCATTTTTTAAAATTGTGTTGTGTCATCTTAAGGATTCATCCTTTCCCAGACAGAAATGTTGATTTTGGCATCTTTTAGAAAAGTTATGCTCTTATTCATTTTATACCTTATATGGGCTTCTATAAAGTAACGATGCCGATATTCATCATAATTTATTTTGTGAGCATCCCTAAAATATTTAAGCCCATAATCATAGTTTATACATCATAGAGGCATGCTCTTTAATGTTGTTATTATGCTTATATTCATCATATACTTTTGAACGGCATCCATACAGTAATTATGCCCACATTCATTTTATACATTGTCGGGGCATCTTTCAAATTTTATGCTTATATTCATTATGGAATGTTTGAAGAGCATCCATTCTAAATTATGCCCATACTAGTTTTTAAAAAAAATATTTCCTAGCTTCTTTAAAATATTATGCCTATATTTATTATATAATGTTGGAATGGCATCCATGCATTATGTATGTCCTTATTCATCTTATATTTTGACGTGGCATCTAGCAATTTTGCTTCCATTCACAGTAAAGTCCATACTGTTTTGATATATATATATATATATATATATTGGCGACTTCGCTTCACTGTAAAGCCGTTCCTGATTTCTCACACGTCTACATTGCCGGCATTCACGCCAGTCCGAGCATACCTTCGACAAACTCATAAATAAGTTGTAGCTGGATGTCACTTGGTTCACTCCTTAATTATAGACAGGAACATTCTATTGTGGGACCACGATGCTGACCGGCAATGTAATACGTGGACGCTCAATAAACGCGAACCTTCTCTTGTGTGCCTTGGAGACTCTTTTCTTACGGTTTGGCATCCCATAGCCATAGATTTAAATTCAGTTATCATATATCTCACCCCACGAATCGTGGGTGAACCTGGTCTACCTAGAAATATACTTGCCCCACCCCGAAAAAAATCTCAGTGAGCCCTCATGAACGTTGCTGTAGGCTGTAGTAATAGTTCTATTTGTGTTTTGAATTTTTTTTTTTAACAATTTGTTGGTATTTCACCATTTTATCATTTCCATTCCTTCATTTCAAGGCGTAACATTCAATTTTTTAGGGAAAATGTTCAATGAAATTATCAATCTAGATTTGGTGGCCCCTTTAAACATGTCCAGGGCCCCTTGGCTTGGACACAGCCAGCCCACCCTTGCCTGTCCGCCCCCCCCCCCCCCCCCCCCCCCCCCAAGTTCCGCCCTACTTTGCGTCTGTGGTTACATTCGAGAATTATTGCTTTTGGCTATCCATGGCCATCATTTTTTCACTACTCGATCTAAGTGCAAAATCTGTCAACGTTTTTCTATTTGTTTTAACTTCAATTACTTTGATGTTTTTTGATAATGTAGTTTGTCTAAATTTTTGTTCTATTATACTTTTATATATAGCACCGTCTCTCTTTTAATATAGGGGTCATCCATACATGACGTCACGCTTTTTAAACGATTTTTACCTCCCCCTCCCCTCCATCACACATCGTCGCAAAAAGCCAGACCCCCCCTAATATGACGTCACTCCTCAGTCTCCAACCCCCCCCCCCCTCAAAATGGCTGTTGAATTTTTCTTAAAACATCGATATTTTTCCAAAATCTTGTCAGAATTATGTCAACATAGAGCCTTTTGATCAATTCCTATTGCAATTTATTAAAACCGTTTTGTAAAACGCGAAATAACGGCTAAAACTTGTTTTCTAACATTGCTTTTTTATAATGCAAAAGTGTGACGTCACACCATCTTATTCCTTGAGTTGGCATCCACACACCTTTGCACCCCCCCCCCCCTCATCACACACCGTCACAAAATTACGGACCCCCCCCCTCCCCCCTACGAGTTAGACCTCATTTATGGACGACCACATACCTCAAACAGCTAATAACATATTGTGAACAGTGGGAGAGGGGAGCGCATCTGATGTTATCAAAGAGAGAAGCTTCCCTTTTAACTGTGACTGAAATTATTAACATAGTAATAAAATAAATTACAACTTAAGTCATCTATTTTGTCAAATATTATATATATATATATATATATATATATATATATATATATATATATATATATATATATATATATATATATATATATATATATATATATATATATATATATATATATATATATATATATATATATATATATATATATATATACAGTGGCGTAGCGAGGTCGGGTGTCACCCGGTGCGGCCATTAATGGTGTCACCCCCCCAGAGGCGTTGCGACCCTTCCCGGGGACAAACTTTCAAGTTTTCGATTTGCACCCCCCCCCCTCAAACTTTCGATTTGCACCCCCCCCCCTCAAGTTTTTCTCTATATATTTTGCTATTTTTTTGCTTTGGTGTCACCCCCCCCCCCCCTAAATGGTGTCACCCGGTGCGGTCCGCACCCCCCCGCCCCCCCCCTCGCTACGCCCCTATATATATATATATATATATATATATATATATATATATATATATATATATATATATATATATATATATATATATATATATATAATAAGCGTATATAGAAAAAGCGTGACGTCATTTATGGATGACCCTCTGGAAGAAACACGGGGGCCAAGTCGAGGTTTCCATTTTCAGGGTTTCTTTCTGTTCTTACAAAATCTTACTTAAGTTACTCGATGTAGATATCTTAGAAATCTAAATTATTTATAACGAAAAAAAAAAATGACGCTATCAGCGCTTTAAAAAAATACAAATACATCACATACGCAAATAGGCAAATATTTAGAGATAGTGCATTTAAATTATTAAAATTAAACAAAGACTTTTTTTAAACATTACACAATGTAAACCCAACCCTCAACTTTCAGTGGCTCAACAGGGTTCGGTTGTCTTGCTCTCGTTTTTTATTGAGGTCAAAGGTAAATGTTTGTTCCATTATTCTCAAAGCTAGAACTAGATCTAGATCTAGAATCTAGTGATTTCGACGCATCGCTATTTTGACACAACTCTCTAAGGTAGATTTAGGACATTTCTTCTTAGATCTAGGCAACTAGAAACCAAGATCTAGATCTAGATCTAGTAGAAGTTGATTCTTGGTGTAAATATTTAATAAATTAAATAGGCTAGATTCTACTTGTATTTCTAAAATACTAGAAATTAAACTTCTAGTGCAATCAAGCGACTCTGGGTCAAGGATCGTAGGATTAAGGCAAGGATACTGGATAGGAGTAGGAGAGCCCTACATTTTAAAGAATTTGTTCTAACAGAAATTATTAAGAATCATCTGGATTTTCGCATCCTATTAAAATAAGCATTAGGGCACATTTTTAATACTATAAAATCAAGTACAATTATTTACGCGACGGATAGGTGTTTTCTACTGTTTACAAATAAATGCGAAAAGCTTTGCGCCGAAAGAAACGATAGTCGAAACTACAGATAGCCTACACTCTACAGGGTTGTCGTTTCAGCATTTGCTTGCGACCTAGTGTAAGTACTTTTAGTCTCCGGGAGAGTTGCTAACTTAAGAATTAACTTGAGGTAACCAGCGCATATTTTGACATTTTAGCATGCAAAATGTAGAAAGTAGGGCCCTACATAGAACTAAATCTAATATCTGCTCACATATGCGGCCATTCTAGCTGAAAGCCTAAATAATACTAAATATAAATAAATTTTAAATGGGCCTTGTAAAACTAAAAGCCTTGTTTTTTTAAATGTTTACTACTCTAGTTAATAAATTATTTAAAATTAAGAATAGGGGCCTATCCCCTATGCCCTATACACTATACGACGGCACTATGACTATACGCCTATCTATACTATTATAACTATTATATAGTTATACTAAAATTAGAGTAGCGGTAGGCCTACTTTCACATTTCGCTCAACAGGTCACTTCACTTAATTGATTTTTCAATTCTATAGAATGTTAATGTGAGTTAATGATTTTGACTGTTGGAGTGGAGTGAGATTACCATAGTCAGACTACATGAACAAGATTGTAGTAGATTCTAGCAGCTGATGCTATGAAATAAATTATTAAATATCTATAAATACAAATAGACGACTAATGACTATTGATTGACTATATTTAATATTCAATATATTAGGGGGCCTAATATTTATAATATAGTCCAAATGTTTTAAATATTTTTTACCTCAGTCATACATTTAATTTTCACGACACTGACTACTCGGTAGAACAGATTTAGATTCAAGTTTTATTTGAACCACACTATTAGTCACTAAAGTGGCTAAATAATAGAAATATTCTAGATCGATTATTAGGCCTAAATATTAAATATTAACTAATTTTCTTTTGTTTCCAGCATTGTGGTGTAAATACAAATAAAGAAATATGTCAAGCATTAAGCCGATTAAGGTAAGCTCCCACTTGGTCGGGAATAGCTGTATTTCTTACATTTCATTATAATCTACAATCTGTTTAGACATATTTTTAAGTTTTAAACTAATATAGACAGTTTCTTCCAGACATCTCTTTGGGGGAGGAGGAGGGAGGAGGAGGCAGAGCCCCCCCCCCCCCCCCCAAAGAAAGATGGAATTTATATAGTAAACGGAAAATATCAAGAAACACTGAATGTATAATTATATAGTATTGAGTTTTTTTAGAGGTTTAATTACCTAGGGGCTATAGTATGGCATAGCAAAAGCTAGATCTGTTAATCTTTCAAATTACTGGACCATGCCACCCAGTCATGAAAGACTACTGACTTTTTTTTTGTTATAGATCTACCTTTTCCTAAAATTATTTAAATTTTTAATCTTATTTTTACATTTTACAGCTCAAATTTTTATTTGCTGTTATGCTATGTATTTTCTTAAAGCTAAGGTATATTGACTTGTTAAAAAAAACAGTTCTAAATTTTTACAAGCTAAAAATTGATATTTGTTATCTTTAGGTGGGAATCATCGGTGGCTCTGGCTTGGACAACCCAGACATCCTTGATGATAGAAAAGAGAAGACCGTCACCACACCATTTGGAGATGTGCGTTCACCTTTTATTAATTTGTTTACTGATAATTATAACCAGTACTCTATTTATAGCTAATATATTATAATAAAATATTTAGAATATGCTTATTTATTTAATTTAAATTAGGTTTTTGAAGCCTTAACTAATATATAAAATGGTGTATAGCCTATTATGAAAACCATTAACCGTTAATGTTTGCTATTGCTTTTTATTAATTGGAAACTTAATATCTCTAGCCGTCGGACAGTCTGATCATAGGTACAATCAATGGAGTCAATTGTGTCCTCCTGCCAAGGTAATATTTGTTGGAAAAAATTAGTTTTCATTGACACACTTGTTTAAATCATTTTTTCAACAAAAGGGAGCTAACTGCATTTAATTTAAGATATATGTTATTAAAGTGAAATAAAAAAATGAAATAAAAAATTACTAAAGAAAAGATAGTAGTTTTTGAAAATATTACATAGTTACTTTATACATAGAAGCTACCAAACTACATAAAAAAGCTCTAAAAATTGGTTGAGATTCATGGTAAATTAAGTACTTGATTTAAATGCTAAAGCCTGCATTCTTCCATTAGTGCTAACTCTATTTGCTTGATGTAAAATGAAATTACCATCTAAGGGTTAGTAAAGTTGACATTTTGACACCCCTAAAATTATTACATAGCCTATTAGTATTATCATTTCATCATTGCATTATTTTCTTGTAAATGTAATTATTTTTTAAATGAGACCTGTAGAAAAAGTAATGTTTTTCAGACATGGTAGAAATCACAGCTACACCCCATCACTCATCAACTTCCGTGCCAACATATGGGCCCTAAAACAAGAAGGTTGCACCCACGTCGTGGCCACAACAGCTTGTGGATCCCTGCAAGAAAACATTCATCCAGGGGAAATTGTTTTGATTGATGATTTTCTGGACAGGTAAGCTTTTGGCTACAGTGGGTAGATGAAATTTGATTCTAAAACATAAAAATATCATAAGCTAAATACCAAAGTGGGAAAGAAGTAAGCTCCTTAGCTATTGTACTCATGAGAGATATTTTGAACTACATGTAATGAACCCTCTACAACAGGGGTTCCCAACCCTGTGCCCGCGGGCGCCATGGCGCCCGCTGAACGATTCGTATGTGCCCGCCTCTCACTATTCGACAGAGACAGAATTTTTTTCATAAACATTATTTTAAAATATGATTTATTTTTATTCATTTGTTACAGTTTTAATTTTTCTTACTGCCTAGGTTTATTAAATATGTTCGATACTTGTCCCAACTTGTCTAGTGGTGAGCCAGACTGCACTATTTACGCTAGCCTGGAACGGCTACTGCCATTTGCACATCACACCTTGTACACACAGAAAACTCGAAGTGAACGAATGGAACGAACGCCACGGTTCGGTTCGATATATTTATGCGAATCATTGTTTTCAAACATGAACTTAATAAAAATCAAGATATAGATCTCGACTCACCGATGAGCATCTTTATGATTGTCTGCTAACAGGATTATCGTCATACGCTCCTAATTGTGAAGCTCTGGCCAATGAAATGCAATGCCAAAGATCACATCGACTTTATTATATTTTTTAATTAAATATTTTCTTTGTATTTATGTGTTTTGTTTACTTTCTTTACGTTTTGTAAATACATTTCTCTGTGTGTATGCAATTTGAAAAACATGCCAAATAATTTTATTATTTTGAAACAATTTTGTTTATTATTTATTAATACATTATGACTATAAGAAAATAAGAAAATAAATTATGGGAAAATGACAAGTTATGGAAGGAGTTTGTCGATTTAAAATAGGTGGTGCCCGCCACCCTACCAATATTTTAGAATGTGCTCTAGAGTAAAAAAAGGTTGGGAACCCCTGCTCTACAACCTGTCCTATCACAATTTGCTGTATTACTTTTCAAGGGACAAGGACTGGTTTAATCTATTATCTCATTATATTAGTACATGAAATCATTCTTATTTAAGTTTATAGAGCACTTATAGATATGTAGTTTATATAAAAGTTTATATAAAAGATGAGCAAAAACAAATCTTTTCAATTTTTCTGTAAGATTCATGATTTATTTAAAGTAAAACGTTCGTTATATTGAATGTTGACTAAAAACCAACCTCTCCCCTTGTTAAATCCTATAGGACAACAAAGAGAGTCCAGACCTTTTATGACGGAACATCCCCAGATCACACTGGTGTTTGCCATGTTCCTATGAGTGAACCTTTCTGTCCAAGATTAAGATCTGTATGTATGTTTCTTGTCTGCGCTTTAGTTGGGCTGATGTAATTTTTTTATTTTAACACTGTATGCGGATTTCAAAATGCATACTTTTCAGTTAATGTTTTAGATTTAATTTCCCTAAAATAAAATTATGCATTTAGAACTTCCTCTTGAAGTTGCAAATGTACTTTTATTGAATTTTAGTTTTCTTCACAATTTATTTTAAGATAAAAATCAATCACTTTTTTACCAGATTTTAGCTAGTAGCATCAAAGCATTGAGCTATCCTTTCCATGAGAGGGGAACAATGATAACTATTGAAGGTCCAAGGTTCTCAACTCGTGCAGAGAGCAGGGTATGGAGACAGTGGAGAGGGGATGTCATTAACATGAGCACTGTACCAGAGGTATGTCTGTTTAACCTGTATGTCCTATATTTGGTGTCTCATTGTTAACTAGTTCAAATGTAAGCTGAATATAAATTTTTGTAAAGAACGGGCACAAGTAGTCAACTTAACCCTAACACAACTGCAGCTGGTCTCTTGTATCAGTAGATACATCCAGACATGCCTACCGTCCCGCCAAAATCGGAACCGTCCCGCTTTTTCACCTAAAAAAGTAATTTGTTCCGTCATTCCGATTTTGACTCAGTTTGTTCAGATTTTTTTGAAAAAAAATTAATAAAGAATGGGAATAAAGTGAGTTGAAAAAAAGGCAGGGAAAAGCATACGTTTGGCATACGTTTCTGTTTCCTAGTTTACTTACAATATTTACAAGTATCATCTAATACTAGATCTAGCTAGTAGTATATCTACTAGTACTAGATCTAGAATTGTAACTAGATCTACTAGTAGATACTGAAATAGTGAACACTGATATATCTTGTAAGTTGTAACTTAACTAGTAACTACAATAAGAAGTAACTAGGACTTTTACTAGGTAGATCAAGTGTCTTTGTTCTTAACTTATATATTACATATGATGAAGCCTTCTGCATTTGTTATTCATATAGCCTAGAACATAGCAAGTTATAAATAATCAAATCAATAATATTTCAAAGCTATAGTTTTTATGGGTAGAGGAGGGGCAGTGTCTCAGGCTACTGGTTAATTTTAAAAAAATGTAAGCTGTTAGGTTAGGGTTAGGCCTAGAGACTAGTTATATATAACTAGAAGCCTACTAATGTCATTAGAGTAATTTTTAATTAATTATTTTTATTTTTGACTTAGTAAAGTAGCGTCCGTGTGTATGTTCCTCTTTTTGGCTACAAACTCCTCCTTTTAGGCATGACTGTTCCTACTTTTGGCTGACAGGGGTAGACATGTCTGTACATCACCCAGGTTTTAATATGTAATGGGTTGGTTCAATGCCAAAAACACTTTAACTGAAGAAAGATAGTAATTCTGTATTTACACCTGTTTAATATGTTTATCCCACTTGTTAATATTTTTTAATAAAAAAAATATGTTGTTGCTATAGGCTTACTGTGAAGCTTATGTGTACTATTACTGCAATTTTCAATCTTGGTAAATTTTCATGGGATTGGCTAATTTTGGAATTTTATTTTGATGGGTTACAATTAGGTAAAATTTATACTTATTTTTCTGCTCTCTGGGATGTGTGGATAAGATATAAAGTGGTAGGAAGTGGAAAAGAGTTAAATTAGTAAATGTAAAGCATACAATAAGAGGTTAGTATTTTAAGGGAATTCTGTTTCCCCTTGTTAAAAAATTATCTTCATTCATGTTATTTTTAATAAAATTCTTAGGTTGTGTTAGCTAAGGAGGCTGGTTTATTGTATGCATCCTTGGCATTGGTAACAGATTATGACAGCTGGAGAGATGACCACGAAGCTGTAAGTTAGCTGCATTACATCTTATTGTTATATTTTACATTCTACAGTAATGTTAGCCAAGAAATATCAAATAACAGTTTCACATGATCAGTTTGAAAATTGTTTTTGGAATAATTTGATGTTTTCTATTTGACTGCAAAATTAGGTTCATGTTGAAATGGCTGTGAAAACATTTAAAGAAAATTCATCTAAAGCTGTGAAAGTCTTACAAAATGCCATCCCTAAAATTGCTGAAGAAAACTGGGATGAAACTATTCAGAAGAGTTTGGTAGGAATATTTTTTATCATTGATGAACTAATATTAGATTAATTTTAATCTTGGTGTTATACTTATGATTAGCCACAGTTTTAAATCATTAATGAGGTATAGAATAAACATATTCTACTTATTGACATTATATTTTTGCTTATAATTTTGCTTAATAAGTACATAAATAAACATGATTTTTCCATTAATTAATTTTTTTTCTGCTATTATTATTTTAGGACATTGCTAGGATGTCTATCATGTAAATTACCTCAACCGAGTGGAACATGACTTTAAAGAGATATATACAGATAAACTGTTGCATGCTGATTGTAAGCAGGAAGTTGTGTATGGGTATTAACCATTCTGAGTGATAAACATTAAGAAGACATTACCTCTGTTCAATGTAACTAAAACACAAGACTAGTCTCTTTCATCTTGTGTCTTTCATTATCATTAGCTTTCATATAGTGCATTCATTCATTATTTAATCACTGTTTGCTGTGAAGTAATGGGATTTAGCTAACTAATCAATTTTCAAAAATGGTTTGTATTTTAGTTCTGTATCAGCTTACTTTAGCTCACCTTCTTCATACATGTTCATACATGTTCTTGCCATTTTAAAATCAGAAAGATACAATTTTAGATTTAGAAAATTCAGTATTTGCTCAATTATTTTTAACCATGTTAATCCTTTTAATAAAGGGACGTATTTCATTTTTAATGTATAAAAGTTCATTTTATCCTGTAGAATTAAATTCAATGTAATAATTTACCACAATTGATAAATCTAATTTAATTAAATAGATTTTCAATAAATTTTTCTAATTGTACGCACTGATTAAAAAACCTAAGGATTTTTTAAAAGGCATTTTTGTTAATTACCATAACTGTATTAACAAATACTCAAAATTGGTATATGAATATTTTATTTCAATAACTAATATAAGTAAAGCAAAACTCGTGAATATTCATTGAGATGACAGACTCAAATTAATATTGAAGGATGTTTTATAATGTCTTTAAAGACATAATTTATAACATTCAGTATATTGAGCATTAGGATATATTTCCTGTCTCTTAGTTTTATAAAATACATTTCTTGGGATGGGTTAAATCTTCAAAAGAAATGTACTTATTTTCTTTATCTGACTAGTATTTTTAACTCATTATTTAGATTTGATATACTGTGAACTCTTGGATTTATGATCTTTATGTAAAGTTTTTATCGACTGTTAATAATGCACTAACTGCATTATTTGTGTGAATCTATGGCATAATCAGATGATTTTTATTTTTACCAAAGTCATTATAAAATTCTTATCTTATATGATCTGTAATTTTATTAAATTAGAATTGTGCAATTGCACATATGATGTATGGAGTTTTAAATTTAATACTTATAGATCTTGATTTAAGCTGAATGCATCGGGTGATAAGTTGAAACTCTGCAGTATGTCACATTATGCATAATATTAGGATTCTTAAAAAGTATTACTTGGAATGTTTTAGTTTTATAAAAAAAAATACAAACAGGTTTCACAGAAGACATTTTTTAAATGCTTATAGAACAGTTAATTTTATTTCATTTAGTATTTGGTAATGTTAAATTAAATGTAATAGGAAATATCTGTAATTCGAATAGATATTGAATAAATGAGTTATTTTAGTTTTATGTAACAATTATTAATAATCTATAGCAATTTAATAAATGAAGCTGCATATTTACAAACTAGCTGTAAAATGTAGATTTTTATTGGAGATGAATTATTCCAAATAATGTATTATTTCTTTTGCTCGATTCATTGTATGTCACAGTACATATATGTATCTGTGATTACTATGTATGTGAATGTTTTACAGCAATACATTATTTTCCTCCACACTGCCTTCCTCTAGTCATTAATTTTTAACGGTTACAGCTGTACTTGTCTGTATGGTAGGGGACTTTGAGTTGCTTTCTGTGGTTATACCATAGAATGAGATAATGTGGCTGCCTGTAGTCTAACACACATCAAGCTTTGTGGATGTAATCATGACTTCATAGCTGACAGGATAATGAGACTTATTTAATAACGGACTCAAATTTTTTTTTTTAACTACACAAGAACTGAAGTTTTAATCAACAAAAAATTTAATGAAGATAATATACAGCTTGTTTTTAATTTAAATGGCTTATTTTACTTTTATTTCAACAGACAAACATTTGCTATAATTAAACAAATACCTAGTGTGTTTTTTTTAGACTAATAATTTGTATTATCTCATGACGCAGTAAAGAGTTAATGGTTGCTAGTTTTTTCCGTTACTAATGACGGATCTTTTATTTAAAACATTAAATCAGTTTAACTAAATAATACAAATAAGATAACTTTAAAATTAATATTACAATTATTCAATAAAGAGAAATTAGAATTTTGAAAACAAGGACATTCACATAAATATTTTTTTAAAAATGTCATTAATTCTTAAAACACAATTTTCAACTTTAAATGCAAGTAAGAAAATCAATATGAGCATATGGAGCATTACTACTTTTTAAAATAGAAAAGACAGCATACTTTACAAAGTCAACAAATTTATTTAGTTTCTAGTTTCTTTATTAATATTATTTCCAATCTTGAAAATAACATTTGGTTATTAGATCTAGTTACATTTTAATAATTTGTTGATGTTATACATTTTTTGGTCAATTGATGTTAAAGTATATTACATTTCATTTTTGAGTTTCAGATGTCAATATTTGTTACTCAGTGATGGTATACATTTATATTCTTGATGAAAACAATGATGGCAAAAAAGTGATGAATTCACCCTACACTGTCTCTAGAACTGTCTAAGTCAATTGTGGGGATAGAAATTTTGATTCCATTTCCTTGAAACATTGCCTGCAAAAACAAAATTAAAGTACATATTTTTTACACTCAAATACTAAGAGTAAAGCTTTATTTAAATTTAAACTCGTGACCTTCGGACTAGCAGCCAAACACTCTACCATTAAACCTTCCGCTCCTTTATTAGACTAATAATAAATATTAAAATAATTTATATTATATTTAATATTTTGAAAATGTATTAATTTCATTTATTAGTTATGATATTTATTATAACTTATCATATTATGCATTAAAAGGACTTGAGAAATTATTATTATCAAGGTTTAATTAATTATTCAATTTAATTAATAACTAAAAATTGGCCATATCATCTTAGATTGTGAGTGTCCAAAGATGTGTAAACTGTAGCCTAAACTAAATGGTTAAATGCACATTAACTCCACCCAGAGAACACTTCCTCTAGACTTGATCCAGTATGGTAAGAAAATTAAAATAGTAAAATTAAAAAGGGTATGAGTAAACTTCATCAGCCAGGTGATAAAATAATTGAACCTGATGCAGACACCACCATGGGTTGCAAGACTAGTGAAGGTAACTATAGATCAAGGAACAATAACTTTGGTGGTGGTCTAACCCTAGCAGGAGTGATGACAGATGATAATGATAGCTTATGTAGATCTGCATTAGAGTTACCTTAAGAGACCAGGTGTATGTTTGTCTAATATTATTTTGTGGACATCATAAATGAATGACCCCTAAACTATATTAAAATAATTATGGCTCTTAAAAATCTTTTTTTATTAGTGTGATATTTTCATAATACACTTTTTTTGTAGAGGTTAGTGTGGGATCAGGAGTACTTAAAACCATAATAATTTTAGAAATGTGCTCTATTTATTTTTAATTATCACCATTCTAGGGAATAATACAAATATACTATTTTAATATAAAACTTTAATTTAAAAAGTAGAAATGTTTTTACCTTGTCAGAATTTCTGCTATTGGACCTTTCATTTTGTTGAGGAATGGGAGATATAGGGGGAGACACTGTAGTCTGCTGAAAATTTGAAATTTTGATATGAGTTATTTTGATCATAGAACTCTTTGACAACACCAGCAATAGGCACTAAACATTTTTTTACTAAAAATGTATATTAGTAATGCTGACTATGACTTTTGGAAGGGGAAAATTTTAAAAATATATTTATACTATACAGTGACAAATGTAATATTAAAAAAGATGCATAAAGTTTTTCTTAAGTATTAAATTATTACTTTATTGAGGATACTTAAACAGATTAACTGCATACAAAGTTTAGAACATTCAACAATATTTTCAAGTAATTTACTTCCTTTTTTAAAAGTTACGTTAAAAAATAATGAGTGATTTACATGAAATTTAAAAAATTAAATCTTGGTCTTAAATTTATCAGGATGTGACAAAATTGTCGACCAACCTGCTTTGAGTGGTACCGGTGGTTATATACATTCTGTTCAGCATAACTGTGAGGCAAATCCTGGTCTGTCATGGCTGGATCATACTGCTCTTGTAGGCGCAGGTGCTGTAGTCTTTGATTGTCCAGCAGGTCGAGCAGTCTACGTTTGGCTTCTTCTTGCTGACGGTTTAGCTCTGCAATCTGCGTCTGCATTAGACTTTGCATGGCTGGATTGTTCATTGTTTCTTCAACAGCAAGCTAAATTGTAGAAATATTTTAGTTTTTTAAAAAAAGCTCATTTTTTTCAATTGTTTTTTTGGGACAATTTATTGAAGGAGCTGATGAATTCAAGTAGCTTTTTAAGAAAATTGTTTTGACAAAAATTATTTAAGTTTTTAACTTCCCATTAGTTATTGATTACCTCCTGAAGCTGTTGAATCTGTTGTTCTGTCTCATCACCAAGTCTCACCAGGTCAGCTAGATCATTCAACGGCAGAGGTTTCTGTAAGCCTGCTCTATGATCTGTGAACCTCTGTCCGTCCCCTTCATCCCCTGGTATCTGGCCTTCACCCTCGGGCATGAGATTTGCTTTAGCAGCCAGAGCAGGATTCATGTTACTCTGCACTAGAGGGACTGGCCTGGGGACGCTGACAGTGTTCATTACTGGGGGGGCCTGAGTAAGTCTTGGTGGGTCGTTACAGGCCAACTGTGCCAAGTCAATTAAAGAGGACTGACGTTCTGATAGAAAAAAACAATTTCATTAGACAGGTCTAAATTATATTCATTGTAAGTAGGTGATTTAAAGTTAACAAACACTACTTAGCTTTTGATAATATGGATGCTATTTAGTAAGTCTCAGTATAAATTATCTTCATTCTAAGTATATCAATAAAAAAAAAATATAGGTATAAAAAATTTAGTGGGGTTATTTTATAACTATTTCATTTTCACTAGAGCATTTCCATATAAGGGTAAAGCTTTTAGCAATAACTTTAAGTGAGCTCATTTGTAAAGCTAAAACAAATTGCTTAGAGACTGACATGTGTGTGTTTTTGAGTTGACAGATACATATAAGGCAATAAAAAAGCATAATTTTCTTACGTGAGGAGAGTTTTTGGCCCTTGTGATTATTATTATAATTACGGATATCTGGTCTAGAAGAGACTCTTGTTTTTCTGATTGGGGGGGACAACAAAACAGCAGCAGTGGAGGAAGATGATTCCACAGCCTTTTGTCTTTGTGTTGCTAGTGGACCGTCAACACAGCTTGAGTAAACGTTTTTAACTGGGACTAAATAACAGGCAAAAATATTAAAACGTGTGGCAATATACAGCTATGACAGATAAGAGACAAATGTATAAAGAATAATGACAGTAAAAGAGACAAATCAAGACAAGGAATAATCATTTCTGTACAGCTTTGATGATATAGCAGACACAAAATTATAAGGAATGATCATTCAAAGCTAATACAGTATTAGAGACAAAATATAATCAAGAACGAGTTGAATCTTTTTGCGTTATTAAGTTAGTTTTCATATTTATATTTATATTTTAAAGGTAAAAAGTATTTCTAAAAAAAAGTGGTTTTGAGTAATGGTTGTTTTATTGCAGACTGAATTTTGATTTTAAGAAAATATGGACATTTTTTACAAAATTTAAAGTAAAAATTAGGGGCTTTGTTGTTGGATGACATCTAAATAATTTAAAAACCTTCACAAAAGAATAAATAACTAGAGGTAACTACTTACACTTTATGCTTTATCTCAGAATAACAAAATAAGCTAAATGACGCAACCAGGATATACAATGATTGTATTTTAATAGAATATGAAAAAGGTTGCATACTCTGATTGTCTAATACAGGAGTTGATGTTCTTGATTCTTCAGATTTTCTACTAGTGCTGCTTATGTTAGCAGTTTCATGAACTTGCTGTCTTTGATCACTTTGTAACTTCTTTAAATCCTGTTGTGATGTATGATTTGACAGCATTTTTTCTCCTGTAAGACATTCAGTTACTTCACTTAATTGGACCTGCAATAAAAAAAACCCCACAAATTACATTGAAAAATTGCAGCATGTAGTAATTAAAACATCATATAAGAGAAACTTAAGGAGATCAAATATGTTTGCTTACTTTGATTGAAGTAATTTCTTTTTCTGTGCTTTCCCTGTAGCGTTGATGTTCAGAATAAAGCTTGCCATATTCTTCTTGAGTCACAATTAAATCCTGTGAGAGACCGATTACAGTAATTTCAATAAAGATATAAAGTACATGACATTATGACAAAACATGTTTTAAATATTAAACATTAAAATTTGTTAGGCTATATGATTCTCTAACATTATTTGATGTTTTAGTTTTATTGTATTTTTTTCTCAACAAGGTTATAGACTGGAATAGTAGCAGGTTGTTGACTCACTGTAGATAAGGCATCAATGACTGACTTGAGCTGATAAACATCTTGCATTAACTGTTCTCTCAGTGTGATCTCAGTCTGTAATCTTAGGTCAGTCTGGATAAATAGAAAAATTATTTTAAAAGTTTCTGGGAAAAGATTGTGGATTACGCCAGTTTTATAAGTGAGGTTACTGTTGTGAGAAGTAAAAAATAAATAAAAACACATTTGGAGAGTCTTCTTTTTAGTATTTGGTACTCAAAAAAAAAAAAGGATGAATTTATCAGCAATAAATCCTGTTGTGTCAATGAGGGATAAGTAAACACAATGTAATAAAATATTAGCCAGATTTAATTTTTAACTTGAAATTAAAACCAAGCTCTTAAATACTATATTGGTGTGCTGCTTGATCTACGTTTCAAATAAAAAAGATGTCCACTGAAATTAACCAAGCCACAGTTTCTTTTACTTACTAAGTTTCATTGTCATATAAACACACATTTTAATTAGTGAGATTTTTCTGAATCTACAATGATCTTAATATAAAAATGAGCTTATTGGACAAACACCAATGGTAATTTATTTGCTTTAAATGCTGGTCTTATTAGGGGCGGAAATAAGATACGATTATGTTAAAAGAAATATTCCTTCATACTACTGTTCGTCAAAAAAAATAATTTATTAATTGAAAAAAAAAATTGTATAAATAACTTGGATGACGAACTGCCATCTTTGATATTGCCCTCCATGAATAGGACAAAATAATGCTAATGACAGACGTGCAATTCAGGGTTCAAAGTAATAACTAACAAAAACAGGCAAAAAATGTGAACATAGTTTCATGCTGAAATAGAGCTTTAGCAAGGTAGAAATATAATAACTACTTTTAAGAACCTGCATTTCCTAGACAACAGAATTACTTAGATAACTGAACTTAGTGTAGGATTAAATGTAATCAAAAGTAATAAGTCTTTAAAAATGATGAAGTTATAAATTACATGCTACACCCTAACTACATTGGCCAGTCGATGCTGATAGAATCACCAAAATGTTTCTTACCTCTTTAAGGACACCCTAACTACATTGGCCAGATGATGAATCACCAAAATATTTCTTACCTCTTTAAGGACACCCTAAACACATTGGCCAGTCGATGCTGATAGAATCACCAAAATATTTCTTACCTCTTTAAAGACACCCTAACTACATTGGCCAGATGATGAATCACCAAAACGTTTCTTACCTCTTTAAGGACACCCTAAATACATTGGCCAGTCGATGCTGATAGAATCACCAAAATGTTTCTTACCTCTTTAAGGACACCCTAACTACATTGGCCAGTCGATGCTGATAGAATCACCAAAACGTTTCTTACCTCTTTAAGGTATCGTGTCAATCGAGAGACAGCTGAGACCAGAGCTGTGGTATAGCCAGAAAATGTTGACGTTTTCTTGAATTCCTCTTGAGGGACCCTCCCAGTTTGTTGCTCATAAGTTGAAATATCATTCTCCAAATCTTGTAAAACCTAGTGAGAAAAAAATTTGAAACATAAAAAGTCTTGGTAAAGTGTTTTAAAATTTCATTTAAAAAAATCTAAAGTTATAAAATAAACTTTTCCATCTTTCAAAAAAAAAATTTAACAACAACACCATTTTTTGTTTTTGTTTTGCATTTTCTCTTGTTGGAGTAATTTTATATTTTTGTAATGGAAATTTTATAATGGTTTAGATTTTAATATATGAGGCAGAACTAACAAAACTGAAAAAAACTTTGATGTGTTTTAATTAGAAAAGCAACAATAAAAAAAAAATCAGCAGAGGCCCCACCTTTTTTAGGTCATTCATGTTAGAAACACTACAGACTGAGTCATTTTGAGACTTTGTTGTGCATTTTGATCTTTTCACTTTCTGAGTATCATTCATGGCAGATGGCGGGCTGTTTTCAGAAGGCAGAGGGGGGTTCTGATTCCTGGGTGGAGTTTTGGGGCCAGGCATAACATTGTTGGCTAAAGGTTAAAAGACATTCAACTCAGATTTGAAGTATCAGAAGAAAAAAAATTATTAAAATATGAAAATGAAATTCCTTGTTCCTTTTAGAATTTTACTTTAATTTACATAGGTCAATAATAATTTGTAAGTATGAATAACTAGTAAAAGAATACTTTTTGAAAAAAAGACACCCACCTGCTGCAACCGCCATCAAAGCAGCCATAATTTTAGCATCATGAGTAGCATCCTTTTGAGGTTTACCTGGCAGGGTACTGTGCACAGTTGAGAAACTGAGTGGTTCAGTGGTCCCATAAGATGGATGACTCTGTACACTGAACCGGCTCTTGGAGTGGTTACCATCTTGTTGGGAAAGAAATGAAGAAGGCGGTTCCATATAACCTGTCTGCCTCTCCTCTTCTCTTAGGTATTCCTGGAACCGCTTTAAATCCATTTTAGACTCAAATGAAATTGGATTTGGCCTTTTCACCTCACCATAATCTTGAAAAAAATATTACCCAAAACCATCACAGAACTTATACATAACCAATGCATATTGTATAAAATTATTGAAAAGCAAACATTAACAAAAATAAAATAAAACAAATTACACCAGAAGAAATGGGACAGCATGGCCGTGTGGTCGAGAACTAGATTACTAGCCCGAAAGTCTTGAACTCAAATCCAGGTTCGAGTCATTAGAATTTCCCTGAGTCCAATATTGTTATGGATTACGCTCCACTGGAAGTTGAAAAAGGCGAAGAAGAAAAGAAAGTAAATTACCTGAATCTGAGCCTGATTCAATGTCATTGAGGGCCGACTGGTCCATAACAGAATCACTCAACTTCTCAGTGCGAGTATAGATGTCAGGTACAGATGCAACTAAGCTGTTAGTTCTGTAGAAATAAATAAATAAATATATAAATCTAGTACAGCTAGATACTTGACTTATTCCTTTGAAGCCGTTGAGGAGCAAAGGGCTGCAGCTTCACCTCTCTGCCAGACTTTGTTTTGGGCAACTCTCTGTAGTCGAGTCCATGTAAGCACAGCAGCCCTTGTTTCTCCTTCCACTGTCCTTCTCCAGGGATGCTTTGGTCGGCTTAGTTTTATTTTCCCCATCAGGTCTAATGCTTGCCTCGTCATTTTGTCTTCTTATCCGGACATGCCAGATCCACTCCCAATCTGAGGGCTTTAGTCAGTTAAAGTAAAGCTCCCTTTCAAACATGACAGTCTACGGGGCAAGTGTAGTAGAGTTCTTTAGTAGAGGGCTTTAGTACCCTGGTCAAAAGGCTGTTGCTTTACTGTTTGCCACAGGTCTTCATTTGACATTTTGTCTTAAGGATTTGATGTAAACACATGCTTGAGAACAACTGTCGCCTGTTGCTATTTGACTTGGCAACCCTCCAGGTCTCCAAGCCTTAAAGCAGTACTGCCTTAACATTTGATAAAGGGGAGGTAAATTGATAATAACTTACCCATTAGTATCACTTTGATGAGGTGCTGATGTCACATTGGGAAAACCCATGAATCGCTGATAAAGATAAAAAAAAACCAATTATTGGCTCTAAAAAAAATAGCTCGAAAAAAAATTTCTTTTATATTATTTTAAAAATGTATTTTAGAAATAGTGCTAATAGTGCTAAAACAAATGGTTTTTTTCCACATAATTTTATACATTATGCAGTCAAGTTAAATATAAGAATTGATACATGGTTTATTCAACTGTTTTTACCTTTGGATCATCTCCAAATAAATCCTTCACAACTGACATCATGGTGTCAGATTTAGCCAAAACATGTTGTAACTGAAAATTTTAATACTTATTAGTGTAATGTAAAAAAGATTTGTGTTTTGCATGTAATGTAAATAGAAATTTTTATTTTAAATGTAATGTGTATAAGTCATACAAAAAAAAAAAGCTTAAAGTACCTGCTCTTGATCATAGAGAACCTCTTTTATAATCGCTAGCTGGTGGGATTCAGCCTCAGTTAACCGACTTTTCTGTTTTTCTGGAGAGAAAAATGTATTACAATGAGTTACATGTTTCCATACAACAAACAAGGTAAAAACAAAATGTGTAAATAAACAAAGTAGTTGCATTCTAGTCTCACCTTTTCTTAATTTTTCTAGCTTAATGGACATATGATTTTTAGATTTATGGGCCTCCTTTCTTAAATACTGTGGATAAGATAAATAAAAAAAAAACAATGAGCATAAAAAGATAAAAAAAACTAAAAATTTTAATGTATAATTAAAAAAAACAACAACATAGTACATTTAATGTAAAAAATGCTATTGAGCTTTAATGAAAAGAAATATAATTTTAAAGTGCGCTAATGTAATACTATTAATTTTAAAAATGTACTAATGTAACAATATCAATTTTAAAGAACTGTAGTAAAGTTGGAATTATTCTACATACAACTTCTTCTGGTGTGGCTCTGTGAACTGTTAGGTCATGGACTGTATCCTACAATTAAAACATAATATATAAAAAATGTTAACAAAAATCGCTGAGAATGTTAACTTTTAACTTGATGGGTTTGTGAACTTATCAAGTTCTATAGTGACTTCTGGTTTAGACAATCTATCTTAGAAATATTCTGTTTAGATTCAAGTACATGTAACAACTGGTCAACTGTTTTCGGGGTTCCTATTGCTTTTTCAAAGTGGAAGTCCAATGTTTTCCTGAATTTTTTTCAGGTGTTTTTCAAAAACTTCCAGATTTTTAAAAGATGTTTTGTCAACTATTTATAAAACAATGCCAGATTTGTGAAGCATCAAAAAAAGTATAATCATACTAGGCTATGCCACAAAGTGAAATTGTGATTACATCGACGGAAAAATGGCATCAAGTTATCCTTTTTCTTCTATCTTAATTGTAAGTATTAAGTGTCAATCCAAGAACAAACTACAAGCAAGCAGTTGTTTAATTTTGAAATTTTCTTCTGGAATACACTTTTCTAAATTACATATACTTTCCAGACTGTCTCTAACTGATTGAATTTTACATTGTTTATAAAACTGGAAATTTATTATTAAAAAATACTAACAATTTAAAAAAAAAAATGAAACTACTTTTGGGATTGACCAGTTCCAGAGTATATTAAGAGATTTTCGGAGTTTAATTTAAACAGGTATGGCTTCTGGGTAACTCAGTTCAAGGCTTTTTAATTATTTGGTGGAGAGTATTTTACAATACTTACATCCCATTCTGGACGAGTCTTAAAGGGTGCTGTTTTTCTTCGTGAGTATCCAACTCTATAGAAGGACATTTGACATGAAATATTCTATAGCACAAATATCTGAAAAATAATAGTTTTATAGTTACACTTATAATTTAGACATGACCCTAGCATTACTGATTCATCTTTTCCTGTTTGTGACCAAGACACATAGGCCAGATGAAGTAGAGTTCATCTGTTTAAGAGACCTCGGCATATGAAGGGATAAAGCGGTCAGCACTATGCCTAGCTATCCCTAATGTCAGTTAGGTACCCATCAAAGCTGGGTCATCTCAGGGACATTCTACTGACTAGATCTCTGATTTAACTCAAGACTTTCATGTTAACAGTCTCTCTACTGCTAGGCCAAGATGCCTCATAGCACTACGGTATTGTATTGAAATTGAATTAATATACAGTGTAATTATTATAAAAAAGAAATATATATATATATATATATATATATATATATATATATATATATATATATATATATATATATATATATATATATAAACATAGATAGATAGATAGATAGATAGATAGATAGATAGATAGATAGATAGATAGATAGATAGATAGATAGATAGATAGATAGATAGATAGATAGATAGATAGATAGATAGATAGATAGATAGATAGGCCACAGGCCTAGGCTTACAAGTAATTAAAATTAAGGAATATCCATATTTAATGTATTTTAATTACAGGCCTAGAAATGGTGCGTGGTTTGTTATATATATTATTTTATGTCAGCATATTTATTATTTACAATATGGATAGCATTTTAAATGTATTTAGTATTTTTAGTAATGAAAGAATCTAGTATTAGCCAATTATATGATTATATAAATAATATAATTAGGCCTATAATCTATAGGGCCTATTGTTATATTTTAGTATACTGTATAGGTTTCATACATACATAAACAGCTTCAATAAAGATTTTAGAATTTAAATTGAATTTGAACAATCTAAAATTAATAAATTAAAAATTGATTATATTATAATTATAGGTCTAATTTATTATTATTGATATTATCTATATATATAATTCGCTTCATGGAGGGACCATGCGGCACCCCATGGAAGCATATCGCTACCACCCCCACCCTCCACCAGTCTGGTGAGCTGTGGTTCACACTAAATGTTTAAAATCGTAGAGCCTGGTTGAACTAGTCATGGCTAATAAGGGCAGATAATTTAGTTTTTAAACAATTGAGTTCTGCTTGATCTTTTTATTGTCGTCTGTAAACTGTCATCACAGACGGCTGCTTTCAGGGGGGAGGGTGTGGATAATCATCCTTCACGAGCTACTGATAGTGTTTTGAAACAAAAAATTTCAGTCGCAGGATTGGTAGTGTTGAATTCACAAATTATGAATTAATGAAAAGTAGAAAATAAAACAACTAAATAGCAGCATATGCTTACACTGTGGGTCAGCTTGTTATACTGAATAATTATAATACTATTAATACAGATCTGGTTACAGTTTAACTCAAGTTTAACTGTATTCAAATTTTGTGTAGCTTTAGTGAAGTAGATTTAGATAGATAATTTAATAGAGCTAATCTATGGCTATTTGTCTAGTAATAGTATAGAAATATAGATCTAGTTTGTAAGGCTTAGCCCACAGTATTTATAGTAACTCTAGTCTTTGCTTGTGACTTGGCTCTACTCTCTCATGCCTAAAAAAAAAATCCAAGAAAAAACCACAACAATAGAGCTAATTGCTAAAAGATAAACTCTGGGAAAACCAAGCTAATGAAAGCAAAAAACTAAAAGTGTTCTCAAGACCTTTGCTTTCTAATGGAGCAGAGCTAGAAGAGGTCGAAGACTTTACTTTAAGTACCTCGGCAGCTATATCTCAGCAAATGGTGCAGCAATGAGAAAGAAATAGCCACCAAAATAGCAATGGCAGCACAGGCTTTCAACAGACTTGCTAAGATTGGAATTCATCCTCACTGCAGCAGAGAACCAAAATAAGGATTTACAAGTCTAATGTATGTTCTGTACTCCTCTATGCTGCAGAGTCATGGAAACTAAACAAGAAAGTAAAGAGCCGCCTTAGAGGCTTTGAAAGAAGATCCCTCCAACGAGAATACTCCACAGGAAGTGAAGAGGATTAAGTATTAAGTACAAGTAGTAGTAGTCATAGTCATGGAATATTATAATTATTAGTTAATTAATAGTTAAGAGTCCCTTAGTTACTAGTCATAACTCTTAGTCTACCCCTTAGTTAGATACTAGTTAGTTAGACTTAGCAGTAGTTGTAGTAAGTAGTACTAGATTCTAGTTTAGTTACTACTTACTAGATCTAGTCAAGCTAAGAAGTTAAGAATCCATGAAAATACTTCATAACAGTAAAATATACAATTTACTATTTAATTGCTAGGACTAGTCACTAGGCCTATCTATTTATAATAATAGGCCTAAATAATAAAATACTTTAATACTAATCTTAATCTAGATTCTAGATCAAAGTGGATCTAGTACTACTGTACTAGAGATACTTGTACTTTTTTAACACTAGATCGAGATTTTTAGGCTCACTAATATTATATTAAATTTTTTTCTTATAAAACTAAAAGGGGAGGCAAAAGGCCAGCACAGACATGTTCATGATGAATGCAGAAGCGGGCTTTTTATTTTAAGGCAGGCTTGTTAGAAAAACATTGTCATTTACACAGGCGATACATTTTCACCATTAAAAAGACAAAAATGCAGCGTTTCAGTAAACGGATTAGATTTATATTAATATAAGGTAAGTTAAAAATACAGATAGATCTATGTAAATACTTTTATTAATAGGCCTAGACTTGTTGTTTTGTAATGTTATTTTAAAATCAGTACGTTGCGATTGTAAACAGTTTTCCCTCACACTAAAAAAAAAAGAACTCTTTAATAAATAAAGATGTATTTGGCCAATAGACTTTTGTATTTTCTGTCAACGAGAGTTCGTTCTCGCACAGTAGGCTAGTGACAATATTGAATTAATACAGTACAGTACAGCACAGGCTTAGCTTAAAATAGAAGTTGTTTGTTTTTAGTTTAAATAGAACTAGAATCTCAAAGCTAAATTAATATCTAACAGTTTTGTTTAAAATGTAATACTAGATCTAGATCTACGTGTTAAAACAAAAGGCACTCAAAATCTATCGACGCTTCAACTTTCTCTTTTAATTAATTTCTTGTTCTTTTTTTGGACATCCAGACACCAGAATAAATCTTTTTGTAAGTTCATTACTTACTAATAGATCTACTTACTTACTTAACAGTGTTAAGTTAACACTTATCATTACTAGACTCTTGAATCTAGATCTAAGTTCAGTTAGGGCTTTCGGGTGGATCTAGTTTTTTTTTCCTTTTTGCAGGCAGTTTTGTAACAGTACACAATACAAACAAAAGTAAGACAATCATCAATGTATTGAATGATTCAATACATTGATGATTGTCTTACTTATAATATAATAATATTTATTTAATAATCAAATTAGATCTAGTAGCTGTAAACGTAACTCAATTTCAGTAGTACGTAAAAGTTATGAGTGAGAATAGATTTGAATGGACAAAAACCTAAGTAAGTGAAGTGAACTAAGTCACTAAAGTCCGTGCTGATATTGGAGGCCACCTTCTTCTTCTCCTTTGTTCTTAATTTTAGTGTCGAAAGGTTTCCCTCCAACACAATTAGATCTAAGTAATACGTGTCAACTGGTGCACAGTTGACTCCGATTTCAGTCTGCTTTTCTTTTGGATTTGCTTCCATAGCCTCTGTTTAACTAAGAACAAACTACAAATACAAGGCAGCATTTGTTTGATTTTGGAGTTGTCTCTCCTAGAAGAGCTGCTGTCCCCAGCTGTCGAGTCTTATCTGCCAGAGGGTTCAAACTCGAAACTTTTTGGCTTAGCAACCATGAGCATTAACAACTCGACCACGCGACCCCTCTGAAGGCCATAGAGTTGATGATAATCCTTCCATCATATTGTTGACATGGATTAAAATTGTGCCTCTTTAGATTTTGCAATCAAAACCACCGTAAAAATAATAAAAGATAACCACTTAAGCCTAAAAATAATGGAGGCCATCGAGTTGACAAGAATCCTTCTATCATATTGTTATCATGGATAAAATTAGTTTTTTTTTTATAATTTGACTTCATAGCTGCCGTAAAAATAATAAAACATAAAACTGCCTAAAAAAAACTAAAAATAATTCAGAAATTTAATATATTTAAAATCTATGTTATAAAAGTTGCAAATCCAGAGAACTTGAACTTGAAAATAATTTTTTGAGTTTACGGCTACATTTCTATTTATTCTCATCAAGCCAAATTTATAACACTGGAATATGTTAAATTAGAAAATGGTTTAATTAAAAATCTAGTTAGGCAGACAAATAGTATTTAAAAACATAGACCTAAGAATGAGAATTAATTAGTTAATAAAACCAAATGAAAAATTTAGCTTTGGTAGGCTATAGGAATAGTTAAGTTTTTATATAAATAAAAATGGAATTTAAAATTTTCCATTTTAAAACATGGTGCAGAATCTTTGCTGCTATTTATACATTTTTTTTATACTTATCAGATGGCTTCTTTATCTGCAAATGAAACAAAGGTTGACAGTACAAGTAATGCTGATGATGAGAATGATGTCATCATGGAAGAAAAAACATCACATCAGGACAAGAATCCAGGAGAACATCTAGACATTGCACTTGAGCATATCGTGGCTAAAGGACTAGACACCTCTGATAATGATCAAAATCAAGATGAGACTATAGTAGTTTTTCAATCCAAATGTGAAAGCCAAGTATTAAGTGATGTAATATCAGAGACCAACTCAGACAATGAAGCAAGCTCACAGGCCAAGGATTCTCCTGTATTTCTCTCAGTTAATAGCCTTACTTCTTTGGACTCTTTGTGTAGTGAAGTACAGGAGAAAGATGGTAGAGTTTCCCCTGAACAGATTGAGAGTGGGACTGATCTTGCTCATGCATTAGCTAACCCAAAAGAGTTAGTGTGTGATGGCGGTGATAACCAACACACACAACAGTTTGAAACTGATCAAGTATTACACATAGAGGATTCTCAAACTGGCTTCATGGTTGATAATGCGCAGGTTGTAACACATAAAACCAGTGACTTTAGTAAAGAAAAAGAACCTGAGAGCTGTAATAATACAGTAGGGTTGTACATAGATGGTCAAAATGTGCAGGATTCAGGAATTCATATTGCTGAAAATGAAGACAATTTGGATGGCACTAAAGAAAGTAATTTAGGGGCAGATTCAAGCGAAATGAAGGATGATGTAGGAATTGAGATTACTGGATGTGAGGAAGAAATGATAGAGGTTGCTAAAGAGAGTGTCACTGAGAAAGTATCTTGTAGTGATGCCACGTCAGAAAACTTAATTTCAACAAGTTGTCTTGGTAAGAATAATAATGAGAATGATGAATCACTTACAGAAAATCAAAGTCAGACAATTTGTTTTTTATCAGAAGATTGTATGGGCATTTCGTCACTGACAGAAGGTGCTTTAGAGCCTGTTGTCACAACTGTGCATAGTGAAAATGTGAGGACACCTTCAATTTTGGAGGTGGATCAATCTACTAAAATGTGGAACAACATTAAAAGATGCAGTAAGTTTTTAACTTGGTTAGTTTGTTTTATTTTATTATAAGTTAGCATACAATGGGTCAGTTGTGATTTTTATAATAAATTGTGTTATCATTAAGATCTCTTAAAGGTTGTCTCAAGGGGCATGTAATGTTATCCTGTGATTGTAATCACAGGGAGTTTCAAACTTTCAAGACATCTAGAGTTTGCTTTGTTCTGTTGTGGTTTAACAGCAATTTATTGAACATATTCAAAACTTATTGAATTACTTTAAATATTCAATGAATTATTGTAGATGCCTGAACAACTAATGAAAGTAATATAATGTTTTGAAACATTCCAGGGAGTAATGGTATGCTTATAGCAGTAAGTCTTCATGATATGTCTGCAAAAGATTTTGCCCGATTTCTTCCAGAACTTCATATGCTGGCTGAAAATCTTGAAATTTACAAACGACCATTTAAGAGACATAATCGTAAGACATCTATTAAATGGTAAAGTACATATTTTTTTGTTTAATAAACAGATGTAAGGGAATGTATATATTTTGTTGTATAGTTCATTCTAGATGTAAATTTTGTATTACAAGATGGAATAAATAAGATAATCAAGCTTTCTCTATCTAAAAACTTGATTTATACTCACAACCTTATGTTGCTGTGATGCATCTTATAAACTTACTATAAACTGAACTAAACTCTCATTTTTCAATTTTAGATAAATTTATAGAAATAACGCAAAACAAGGATTTTAAAATTATTTTTCAGGACGGCTTTCTTGGGCCTTGATCATTTTCATCAAATGACCACGCTTCTTAATAAAATGGGGAAAACAAACCTGACAAAGTTGAAACAAAATGTGTCTTTTAAATACATAGGACACCACCCACCCTTAGAAGGTAAATATTTTGAATTAAAACAAATAAAAATGGTTATATTGAATCAGAATAGTAGTTTTCATGTCTTTATAAGTAAAAATCATTTGTGATTTATAGTTATTGCTTTTCTTTTATAAATGTTAGAATAACCCTTATAAATATAGGTAGATAATTACAAACTGTGGAGAAAAATATATAATAAGTATGTTATAAAACTTATCACTATCAACTTTTATAGGAATATTTGGCATGTTTATGGGAAAAATTCAATGTAAATTAGATTTTGATTTATTGATACTATTTTTTTAATAACATTGGCTTGCTGCTGAAGATAACTGCCCTTTTTGTTTTGTTTTCAGTCTCCTATTGCCTATGTTTTTCTAACAAAAAGATTTTGAATACTGAACAGCTCTCTGTAAAAGCCCTTTCAAAATTTAAAGGTAAACAGAAAAAAAAGTTACATAATTAATATTTTATATAAATATTTAAAATATTTTTTTCAATGTTTAGCTAGTCAGAGAACTTGCTTTTTTTAAAAAAACAAACTATAATGTTAATTGAACAAATTAAAGCTTTGTACTATAGCAGAGGCAATTCTATATTTAGAAAAAATTTTTTTTCTAAAATTTAGGATAAAAAGAGGATTATAATTATCTTTAAAGAAGCATTATGATAAACAGCCAAGAATCAATGTATAAATTAGCTCCACCAAGTGTAATTTAAAAAAATGAATAAGCAGAAAATCCTCAGAAGAAATGTATCTTCTTATTTTACAAGATGATTTTGTTTTTCATTCAAAAGAAGGTGTAACTCAAGGGCTTTTGAAAATTTACTTGATATATATTAACTTTTGCAGGAAACACGTTTTTTGAACTAGCTTATCAAAATATGCCAGAAGGAGTACCTTCGGAACTTTTTCAGTACCTATTCCCAGGATTCGTTTGGTGCAGATATGATTTTGAAAAACTCACCAAGTCAAATCGTCAAACAAACGCTGTCTCCAGAAAAGGCTGGTAAGTTTTCAGCTGTGTATTTTTACTCTGTATAAAAGGGATAGCGAAGTCAGATAGTAGAGCACATTACTGCTTACCCAAAAAGACTTCAGTTCAAAACCGGTTGATGAGTACCAGACTTACGTAAATAACAAATAAAGGCCATAGTGCTGACCACACTATCACTTCATATGCATTGGTCATAGAAACATGTGAACTATATTTCATCTGAATTATGGATCGCCTGATCTGAGACTTTGTTTTTTCCTGTTTAAAAAATAGAAGTGAAGTATTATTTCAGACCACAGTGCCATAAGGCACAGAAAGTAGAGTTCATCTATTTCTTTGATGCCAGCAGTACTATAGACCTCAGTGATAATTTGATGATCACTGTGGGAGGGGGGACAACTCTTGGGACATTCCCAGGGTTTATGCTGGGATCTTCACATTATCATTATCTGTAATTATCATTACCAGCTCAGTAATTTAATTTACACTTTCCAATTACCATGTAATCAATTCTCTCTTTCAAAGTTTATCTATTTAAAATTAGATAACACTGTACACTTTAAAGTTAAGAATTTTCTTTTTTTTAATGAATGAGCAGATTTACCAAACTTTTCTGTTTTGTTAAAGTAGTGAACGCATTTTGTTAATATATTTTGTGTGGACATTTTGATATAAAGTAGTGTAATGTAAATGTTTAAATTTTTAGCAAGCTGATTTTCTACTTTATGAGTGCTGAGGAGGCTGATCTGTTTGAGTCCTTTTATTCAAAAATCAAAATCAACAACCAAAGTCTCTCCCTAGAATACAAGGGGTGTTATCGTCAATTCACAAAATTCACAGAAAGTAAGTTTACTGAGTTATTTAAAATCTTACAATTACTTTTGAGAATAATTTATAAGCTATCATAAGAAGTACATTTTATTTTCTTACAATTATAGTCAAAATAAAGTTACAATTAAAAAATAACTTATTTGTTAAAATGTTTAAAAACATCACTTTTTTGCAAACTTAAAGAAATAGTGCCTTTGGTTTTATTACACTTTTTACATTTCCTTCATAACAGTTTTAAAATTTAAAAAAAAACTGCTGCTTTTAATTTTTACATTTTTGTTATTTTTCAATCTTTTTTAATACAATTAAAATATTTCCTAGAAAATCCCAGTCAAGATAAAAAGTTGAAAATTCCAAGGGGTCTACAATTAGTAGGCAACAACCTTAAGCAGAAGACTAATGGCAAAAAACAGACCGTGATATATTCACCCATCACCATATTAGAATTAACAAAAAACCACTTGTCCATGGAGGATTCTTCAGATAGTGGGGAGCATAAGTCTCATCAACCTGCCAGTAGTTCCAAAAGTAGTACTAAAACTAAAAAAAGTGTTGACAAATCACAGCCTCACAAGCCCAGGGTACCAAAAAATGAACAGCCCAAACTGGCTAGTGAAAAGCAATCCAAAAATGGGAGTGACCTCCCCAACCCAGGTAGTTGCGATCGATCACAGCCTGAAGACAAGCCAACTGACGAAAAAAGCTCAACAAATACAGCTGTAAACAACAATGATACTGGGACCAGTCAAGTGGGACCATGTAACACATTAACTGGCCAGCAAGAATTATCCTCAACGCATCCTGGCGCAACTCAAAGCCAGTTAAATGCATACACCATAGGTCCCTCTCCAGGAGCGGAAAGTACACAGTTTTTTACTCCGCTGAACACACCAACCCCCACTAACCAAATGCCAATGTGCTCACCTGGAATGTACTTTAGACCCATGCAAATACCCATCAATATGTCAAGGTTCATGCCTTCATCTGGAACTATGCAGGTACCTTATCAATCATCTGTGACAAGATTTCCACCCCCTGGGTACCCCCAATATACATTTCCGCAAAGAATGAATATCCAATATCAAAACTACCAAGTCCCTCCTCCTCCACCTCAGCAAACACAAACTGACGATGCTAAATGGGAAGAAGAAGTGGCTAATTTTACGAATAAATTACAGAAAAACAGGCCAATAAGGCGCAGTAGGTCGCGTAGCCCAAACAGAGTGCATAACAAAAGGTTTTCTGGTGATCACCGATCAGGTAGCAGAGATGCATCACCACGCAGAAGCTGGTCTCGCAGCCCTGTTAGATATGGAAGATACGGCAATTTCTCATCCAGAGTCCCCAGGCATGGGAGAATAACTTCACCACTTAGGTACGTACCATGCCGTGATAGATCAAAATCACCACGAAGACTTAGAAGGTCACCTGTAAGAGATAGGTCGCCACCATATTCCCACAGGCGGGTAAGTAGATCTCCACACTCACCACTGAAGAAGAGGCGCACATCTGATAGGGATACTTCTCCGGCTAAAAAAAGGAAAGCATCTGATTCAAAGAAAGAAAAGAGTGTAGAAAAAAAAGCAGGTGATTCATCAGGGAACGCAGCTAAAACAGTTGTGAAACAGGAAAAAAAAGTAACAGACCCTTCGGAAACGGCAGACAGAGAAGTTATGAAGGATGGAGTTAAATGCAAGAAGAAAAAACATACAGAAGAGGCAAAGAAAGTCAGTATAATTGTTAAAGATGATCTGGTTGAAGGAGATACCAAAGAGAGATCAATGAGGGATAAAAATAGACCCAGCCAGAAGTCACCAGAAAAAGAAATTTTTAAAGACAGATTCTTGATGTCAAAAGATTCAATACATAGAAGTCACAAAATTGAGGATACCATTCCAAATGATGGTGATGAACGTTCTCTGTATAGAGAAAGTTATAAGAACTATATGCAACAACCTTCACCTGATAGACATATGAAAAACAGGTCTCCTTCCCCAAAGTATGTCTTTCATCCCATATCTTCTGCTTCAAGTTCAGCTACCAAATCCCATAGAGAATATTCACCAGCATTATCTCCTGTGTCAAGAGAGAGAGTAATGCTTGAAGAGTTGTCCAGAGAAAAGCAGAAACTTGAAGAGCTGACCAGAAAAAGAGTTATGTTAAAAGATGTTCAAGATCCCAGGCTACATTTGTACCACTCTGATGGGAAACAGGTGCCTATGGATTCAATGAAGGGTAATGAGTCCCCTGTACAGAATAGGGAGAAGAAACAACTCAGAGAGCCTACTTACCTCTCTAAAAAGAAATGCGTGGAGTATGATTCAGATGACAGTTATGGTGGTTCTGAGCAATTAAAGAAAAAATCCACACTGAAAGGTTAGAAAAAATTAATTACAATATTAAATAATACATACTTGTTTACACTTGCAAATACTTCATGAATAATTAACTGGAATTCTATTAGTTGAAACTTGTTTGCTTTTCAAAAAAACAACTCCATGTCTTATTTACTTTGTAATCTAACTTGATATTTTCAATTCTACAGGTTGGGGGGCTCGAAATAGAGTAAGTAACCATTAGTTTTCTTATTGGTATATTGTTCATCACAACAGTGGCGTAGTGAGGTCGGCGTCACCCGGTGCGGCACTTAATGGTGTCACCCCCTCAGAGGCATACCGACCCTTCCCGGGGACAAACTTTCAAATTTTTGATTTGCACCCCCCCTTCAAACTTTCAATTTGCACCCCCCCCCCCCCCCCCACACAATTTTTTCTCTATATATTTTGCTTTTTTTTTGCCTTGGTATCACCCCCCTAAATGGTGTCACCCGGTGCGGGTCCCCCCCCCCTCGCTACGCCCTTGCATCACACTGATTTTTCTTAACAGTTACATTTTAAGTACACTAAATTAGAAGTTTTATGAGTAAAACATGTATATAAATACTTTAAAATTTAAAAAAAAATTTAAGTAATACAATTTGTATTCTTTTAAAAGCATTCAAGAAGCAGATCCAGTTCCCCATCGTAAGTTAAATTTTCCTTAACCCTTACTTCCTTTTGTTAAGAAGGCTGAAACATCCTGACAACATTTAAGAAGTATCTTGTTTTGTTTACAAAATAAACATTTAAAACCAAAAAAATATTCTTATGATATTAATTTGAAGATTTCTGGTTTTTTTTGTGTGTTTATTTTACAACTACAGTAATTTGTTTTTTCTTTATTTCTTTACTTATTGTTGCTGTTAATTGTGACCAATTTTTAAAAAGTTTATGTTTTTTTTTTAATTTCTTAAGTTAAATACATATTTAAGTTGAATTTGAAAATTTTTAAAATGATATTTTGGTTACCATAGACTACAAGAAGAGGACCGGAGCTTCCAACAAAAAGTGAAAGATGCTATTGCAAGAAAAACAGAAACCCCATCTGATGCAGCAGTTGACTACATTTTTGAGATTCTAAGTGAAATTGCATCTTCTGACAGGGAGGAGTTTCCTCATCTTACAAGAGCTACAGCACACACTATTAAAAACAATCCTACAAGGGAGTTAAGTCCCACATTTCAAAGGTCATCCCTTGAGAAAGGTTACACCAGAGAAAGTCCACGGAGTTCAATACCCAGATTTTCTGAGCAAAAAAGACTTCAAGAAGAGTCTTCAGATGCTGTCTCTTCATCCACAGCTAAGTTTGAAATGGAGAATGAGTATGAACCAAGAAACTCAGTTTCAGATCCTTACGAGGGAAGATTTGTATGGAGCCAGCAGAATGTGGTCTCCAACATCATAGACAAGCAAGTGAGTAATCCTTCATCTGAAACTCTAAGCAGATCTAAGCCTGCAGCCAGTAAAAGAACTGAAGCACCCATGAGAGCCACTGATGATGAAATCCTCAGCATGATACACCAATTACAAAAAGAAGTTAAGCCTGTTAAACTAAGCGCTACTTCTACTCATGCACCATCACCTTATATGTCTGCAGCGGAACCTAATAGGTATGACAAAAAAGAGGCCAGCTCTTATATGAAAAATGCCAAAATTGAGCACAGTGCAAATTTTGGTCAAAACAAAAGCTCATTTAGCAAAGACAGTTTGAAAACAACAAACAAGCAAACAGTTCCATACTCTTCTACCTCGAAGAGCAGTAGTAAAAAAGTTGAAACACCCTCAAGGGCTTCTGACGATGATATTCTCAGCATGATACGTAAACTACAAAAAGAAGTTAAACCCACGAAAATAAGCACTCAGAGCTCACAGTCATCATCATCATCCTACATTCCTTCTGAGGAATTAAGTAGATACAGCAGGCATGACAGTAGCACATATAAAGGGAACTCCCGAGCTGAACAACACCTCTCCCAAGATTACAATGAAAGTGCTTACACCACAAATATTTTAAAAGAACCATTCAAGCACACCAGCGCCAAAGGCCATACAGCCACTGCCCGTTCAGAAGCTGAGGTAGCTGATCTTGCTGCGCTCTTGTTAGAGGCTGTGCAAATGACAGTAGGTAATAAGGGCTCTGAAGACAATAGCAAAACATCTTTAAAGCACGGTAAATCAGGCTTTGCACATCCTCCATATGATGACCGCTATTAACTTACTAGTCATCCAAAGAGTTGAAATGAATACATTTGAAAAAGTGGGTTATTATAGCACTAATGATATACCATTAATAAATTTTGTTTTTTTTTAAAAAAAGATGTTGTCACTGATATATGATGAAAATGTTTGAAATCATTTTTGTTAATATGCAGCAAAAAAAAAAAAAAAACTTTCACTACCTTAGGCTTTTATTATGTCTACTGTTATTAAAAAAAATAGTACATAAATCAAGCTTTCACTTATGTATATTCAGAGTGTAAAGTTCATTAACTCTTTCAAATTCATTTATGTTCAGCCTTTATTATTTTATACATGTCATTAAAAGCCTATTATTGTTAACCACATTTTTCTTCTGCTTTGTTTTAATTAGTTTATTGAAATCAAGGTAAATTTGTTTATTTTCACAAGCTTTTATTTAGTTTGCATTGTCTGTTTGCTTTTTGTGGGTTTGTGGCAAATCTTGTAACTCAATTTTGACCCACTTCTAATGTACGGATTTTGTTCAAAAATTTCCAGATGTGTTCTTCTATGACAATGCAAGAATATCTAATTTTTAATGTATTATTAGAAAGACAGCTTTTTAAAAATTACTACATTCAATCATAAAAGGGGAGATAATGAAATAAAATACTAGAGGGCGGTCAAGGGTGAACTGTTTATCACCTCATGGTTGGTTGATTTCTCATTGTCTACAAACAAAGTAGGGACAGAGATCATAAGCTACTGATCAGGTTTAAATGCAAATATTTTTAGTCTTAGCTTATATTGAATGAATGACTATGAATGAAAGTGGAAAATAAAATGAAAAAATAAAAAGCTTTATAATAACAAGCTTTTATATGCACTGAAAATAAGAAAAGAAAGCAAACTACATTAGTAAAAGCTTTGGTTGCTAAAATATGTAAGAGTTCTCATGAATGACAAAAGCTTTTATTAATGAAGTTTATTTTTTAATTTTCAGTGTATCTAAAAGCTTGTTACTATAAAGATTTGTTTGTTTTATTTAAGTATATTTATGAGATTTTTCCCCTTTTTAACAACCACAAAATATTCTCCTTTTATTTTGTAAAAAAGATAAATGTGTAGATTGTTTTATATTATTGCTTTTGATTAATTACAATGATTTAAAAATTCTTGGTGTATTAGTATCATAACAGAATTAAATATTTGGTGAACTACATTGATATGGTTTTTTTATTTTTAGAATTGTGTAATTATTCGTCTTATTATGCTCAATAATTCCAACTGGTATTTGTTATTATGTAGTTTAAAACATTAACTAATTTGATGTCATCCATAAATGGTTACACATGAATACTTAAAGTTAGTCATATAAAATGAATAATTTATAGATCTAGATCTAAATGCTTTTAAATCTAAGGGGCAGTCCAAAGACTTTTCAATATTGTTTTTCTTTTTAAAATGTTTCTGATAAAAGTAAATTAATAAGGCTACAGGCATACAGTATATTGAGTCGTTTAGAAAATGCCTAGATCTAGGGAGACTAGGGGGTCTAGTAATTTCTAAGCAGCCATATAAATGTGCAATTGAGAAAGAAACAATTTAACTTTGGCTAGGCCATGATACTAGAACTAGATCTAATGTTGAAAACTACTTCAAAATTCAGTTAATAATTAAAAAATTCAATACGGAATACATTTTGGCTGCACACCGCCAGGAGGGATAATCAATGTTCTTGTGTAGCGACATTGTTCTAAAAATAGAGCACGCCGCGGAGTCGAGGGCTACGATTTTGACAAACAAATGGATGGTGTATTTTTTAAATAAAGCAGTTGGTAATTGATATTATTTTATATGTCTACGTTTTTAAAACACCACACTTACTGTATTTTAATCGCTTGATCAAACTATTCAAATTAGATGCAACAAATCTAGATTTAAATGAGGTTAGAAAGAAAGCCGGAGTAAAAAAAAAAGTCAGTCGGCCATCTTTCGAGTTGCCGTTTTCTGGATAAATTAAAATTAGGTCTATCATTAGGACTCAGCTAGCCTTTTATTGTATTTTAATATTATACCCATCTAGATCTAGATCTAGAGCTAAATAGAAATATGGTAATGTGTTTTATAATCTACAATAACTAGAGCCTAGATCCAGCGGTAGATCTAGAACATAAGAAATATAAAAAAAAGTTTAAAAGGGATTCTAGATCTAGGCCTAACAAACAAGTAAAATAGTAAAAGCAGCAGTGTGCTAGCTAAGAATCTCAGATCTACAGACTGCTGCAGCTAAAGAGAAGGTAGACTAACCACTACTTGCACAGATTAATAATAACAAAATAGATCTAGATCTAGACGGATTTTTGCACTTAATGCTGCATACTTTGTGTTTTTATATCTTTAAATTTTAAATTTGTGTTATCCAAGGTCCTAGTCCTAGATCTATTCTAGATCTATCCAATAATTTACTATCAAAGTAGCATGTCATCAACCTACTTAAAAACATTTTAGGCCTCAAAGCTTTTTAGGGGTATTTTTTTATACCAGTGTCTGATAATAGAATTTTCTTTAAAAAGGGGTGTTAGGTTACTGCTAGTTAACAACCATGGCTTTCTAATGTCAATGCTAACCCCAACTCTAGTCCTACCATACGCCCAACCCTAATTTCTAACCATAAAACTTATTTTCAATCATCCGCTTTTTTATACAGGTCCCCCTAATATGTTTTTTATATCATAAGTCTACATTTTGAATAAAGACCTTTTTATTTTCTTTGCATTATCACAGATTGATTCAATATAAACCAAAAGAATGAGTGAAGACAATCTTTACTCTCAGCAACACATGATGTCCCCGATGTCCAGTCGAGGAAAAGTCATGCAAGGACCACATGGACAAAACATGCACCCAGGAATGGGTGCACCTGGTCAACAAGGGATGCCAATGTCTAACCAGGGACCTGGTATGCCAGGAATGTCACCAGGACATCAGATTATTCAAGGAGGTCCAGGACAGAATATGGGCCCAGGGGCATCTAATCCTGTAATGGCCCAGAATATGCCCATAGGTGGACACAGTCAGAATGCAATGGGAGGTGGAATGGGTGGCCTTGGACCTCAGGGCATGCAGATTAACTCATCCATGTCACCATCAACTATTGGTGGTATGCCCAACTCAATGCCTGGAATGCCTATGCAAGGGATGCCAGACAATTCTATGTCAAACAACTCTATGGGTAACATGCAGTCTGGCAGTGGGGGTATGCAGATGCAAGGACATGCCCAGCAGCAAGCAAATATCGGACCTGGTCAAATACAAAATCATGGAATGGATAGGTCAGTACAAGGAATGCCTCCTGCAATGCCCGGTGGAAGTCCTAGTCCTAACCTCTCGGGTTCACAGATGGCTGGGGGTGCTATGGGACCACCTAATCAAAGTGTTGATCCAAGTACTAGTCAGAGTGAGTATTTGTGACTTTTTATATTTTACTAGACTAAATTATATATTAAAGGCCAGTGAAAACCCAGTAGAGTTAGTTAATTCTAATAGTAATCCATGACTTATTCAGCTTAAATTTTTTTACATACATGCTATGTTTTACATTTGCGTTGTCCTCATAGATTAAAAAAAATTACATATACTTTCGATTGACTATGTTTTCTACAAATGTAATTTTGGAAAATTGAAGTAATGTTAAACTTAAAAATTGGAGATAAAACATCTCAATTTACACATTTCAGGTAAAACCAGATAATAATAACTCATTAAATAATACCAACACATTTTTATAAACTATGCCATCATATTTCATTTAGACCAACCACCAGGTATGCAAGGAGGACCTCAAGGACCACCTAGGCAAACATTCAATCAAGCACAGCTTCACCAGCTTAGAGCACAGATTAAAGCATACAAACTTCTCTCCTGTAATGCTCCTATACCAGATGCACTAAGAATGGCTTTGGAAGGTAAAAGACCAATGGGGCCTTACCCTCCAAGACCTGGTGAGATTATCAAGATTTTAATATTTTGAGATCATTGTGTGAAACTCACTTAAAGACATTTAATTGTTAATTTTATATTATTGTTTAGGTGATCCTCATCAGATGCAAAAAATCAGAATGATGCAACAAGGTGGGCATCCTCAGCAGTCACCTCAGCCACAACATCTTCAGCCACAAATGGGTCCAATTAGAGGCCACAGTGGGGGAATGCCAGGTCAGCCCCCTTCTCAAATTGATCCTTCACAGCCTCGGATGAATGGTCCTCCACTTCAGCAGCAAATGCAGCCTCAACAACAAATGGGGGTTCCTGGACAACAGACACCACAGCAACAGTCTCAAGCTCTTTCTATGGGAAAACAGAATAGAATTGCACCAGTTTCAAAACCTCAAGGCTTGGATCCACTGGAATTATTAAAAGAAAGAGAAAACAGGTACTTGGCAAAAGTTAATCATGTCTATTTAGTAACATGATCTTCTGTTATAACATTCGCTCTTTATTAAAAGTTGTTTCACAATAGTGATATTAACATTCTCTAACAGTTTAAGAAGTTTTGCTTTTTTTCTTGTTTATGGGTAGCACCTCTCATGGCAGCATGGAAATATTACTTTAATAATAAATGATTAATATTTTTTATTACTTGAATAGAGACTGATTTACTGTTATTTAAAAAATATTGATTTCAGAGTTGCTGCACGGATTGCACATCGCATACAAGAGTTATCTAAAATGCCAACTACAATGCCCGAAGATATGAAAATCAAAGGAATGATAGAGCTGAGAGCATTGCGACTTCTAAACTTCCAACGATCTGTAAGATTTTTTTTTTTATTGTATGTTGAAATAGTATTCTTTTTTTAGACAGGTGTTGACTTAATCTGTAAATTTTCTTACAAGTTAAATTATCACAAGACTTTTATATTATACATAGCTTAGAGCAGAGGTTATTGCTACAATGCGAAAGGATACAACTTTGGAAACTGCTCTAAATCCTAAAGCTTATAAACGCAGCAAGCGACAGTCTTTGCGTGAAGCTAGAGTCACTGAAAAATTAGAGAAACAACAGAAGATGGAACAGGATAGAAAGAAAAGGCAAAAGCATCAGGTTTGTACAAGTTAAACTAAGCTTTTTGACTTTTTATTAAAAAAGGTAATTCTGAATATCTTATTTTATATTTCTAAATAATCAAATGCTTTTTTTCTGTAGGAATACTTGAATGCAGTTCTTCAGCATGCCAAAGACTTTAAAGATTTCCACCGTAATGTTGTTGCTAAAATTGGTAAACTGAATAGGGCTGTTATAACATTTCATACCAACACTGAAAGAGAACAGAAAAAAGAGCAGGAGAGAATTGAAAAAGAACGTATGCGAAGACTTATGGTAAGTTCTTCATGTTACAGTATTTTTTTGGAGGCACCAAAAAGTTCAAATCAAGTGCCTGAATTAAAAAAAACTCTTTTGCTATTTAAATTTAGGCTGAAGATGAGGAAGGCTACAGAAAACTTATTGATCAGAAAAAAGACAAGCGTTTGGCATACCTGTTGTCACAGACTGATGAGTATGTTAACAGTCTTGCCACACTTGTCAAGGAGCATAAAGAAGAACAAAGGAAGAAGAAACAGAAGAAAAAGAAGAAGAAGGTAAAAGAAAAATAGGCTAATTTTTATTATTATTTATACCTTTTAAACAAATTGTAATAGCCTTTCCAGTTATACAGGTTATGAAATTTTTTTTTATAAATATCACAGAGTTCTGAGGATGAAACAAATCAAGGAGACAAAAGGGTTAAGGTTATGGATCCAGAAACAGGAACTGTACTCTCTGGTGAACAAGCTCCTTTAGCCAGCCAGTTAGAGGCTTGGCTGGAAATGAATCCAAAGTAAGTGTAATTAGATTTTTTTTTACATTTCTTTTTCAATTTTCAAAAATAAGCTTGTATTATACAATAGTGATTTAAAGATTAGTAAATACAACTCTATAATCAGGTAGTAAACTATTTATTCATTGAATACATTTTTATTCCAGCTTCCAAGTGGCTCCTAAAGAAGATGAGGAAGAAGAGGAGGATGATGATGATGAAAGTGGTGATGAGGTATGGATGTATTTTTTTGTTATCTGCAAGCAGAAAACAAATATCTTTCATGATTATTTTAAGTTTTTTTTTTATTACAACAATAATAACATCCATTGTTAACAGGAGGAAGAACCTGAACCAGAAATCCAGCCTCAAGAAGAAAAGTAAGATATTTTTTCAGATTATTTACAGCAATTTAGTAGGATAATAATTAACCTTTAAAATTTAGGTTTTATTTTTTTCTATCTCCCTAATGTTGATTTTTTAAAATGTATGTTGTTATATAGAAAAAATAACTTGAAATAGTTTGTTAGCAAAAGCAGCCATCAAATGACTATTCATTTCAGTCAAAGCCATGCTGATGATGATGGTGAGCAGAACTACTACACTCTTGCCCATACTATTAAAGAGAAGATCTCAGAACAGGCTAGCATTTTAGTCAATGGAAAACTTAAAGAATATCAGGTATCAACTTACTATGTAGTTATCAGTTACGTTTGTTTGAAATTTTTCTGTACAAAATAACTTTTAACGCCATTTTAATATTTGTTTACATGAGCTTTGTTTTTCATTTTAAGCTGAAAGGTTTGGAGTGGCTTGTCTCACTGTACAACAACAATCTTAATGGAATTCTAGCTGACGAGATGGGTCTCGGAAAAACAATCCAGACCATTGCTCTCATTACTTACTTGATGGAACGAAAACATGTCAATGGACCATTCTTAATTATTGTTCCCCTTTCGTAAGTGTTGAATAAATTGAAAACTAAAAAATCTGTTTAGGGATCAACACACCTATTACTTTAATTTTTCCATACTTTAAATAAGATGTTAATTTTCTATGCAGAACTCTCTCGAACTGGATGTTAGAGTTTGATAAATGGGCTCCCTCAGTTGTCAAAATTCCTTACAAGGGATCGCCCAATGTCAGACGTACACTGGCACCACAGCTGAAATCAACCAAGTTTAATGTCCTCCTTACAACTTATGAGTACATTATCAAAGACAAAGCCACTCTCTCTAAGGTTTGTCACTTTAAAATATTAATTTCTTTTACACTCTTACATCCCTGAGTACACACCTTTCTTTTTTCACTTTCCAACTAAGTAAGATTCAACTTTTCTTAGTCACATGAATTTCCATAAAAAATGGGTAGAGTTAATAACAGGGTTCCCACGCAGCCGGGAAACCGGGAAAAAACCGGGAATTTCAAGATTTAATTTCCCGGCCGTGAAAACCGGGAATTTCGATGAATAACCGGGAAATATCTTTAAAAACCGGGAAATCTTGCTTCCCATGGTTTTTTCTTTCGGGTGTCGCGAGATTTGAACCGGGTTTAGGCCTATCCAATCGCTAGTCTCGCCACATCTCGTGACCTAGTTTTGGCGTACAAAACTAGTCTCGCCGGTTCTCGTGGTGCCTCTTTACCGTTGATCTGTTTTCCGCCCATTACACATGTGTACATGGTACATCTACTGCTATGCTTGCTTAGGGTTACCCATCATTGGCGTGACGTAATTTTTTTCATTGGTTTTTTTTAGGATTAGTTTAAAATTTAGTTTAGGCAACACGTGATTTTTTTTTAACTTGCCGTAAACTCGCCTGTAGTCTAGATATTGACCTATTTAAACTGTATTAAAAGGACTAGGATCCCGCGCGAGTACAGTTTTGTTAAATATTATTTTAAGGATAACTGTTCTAGCAGACTATTTAACCAGTGATACTGAATTTGGGAGAAACACAGATTAAAAAAAACAACAACGAAATTTGCAAAAGCCAGCCTTTCTCGCGTTCATAAGAAAAAAATTAAAGGCTAGTGACGTCACCAACAATGTGAAATGCGTAGATGGGTCAACTACAATTATTTCATGGGAGGGGAGTACCTGGAGTAAATAGGACTTTCTTGAACTCACTGTGACCCCAAGTAGGCCCACGCGTTCATACCGCAAGGTGGTTGGGGGGGAGATAAAGTGACGTCATCAGCTATCTCAAATAGTAGTTGACGTATGCTATAGGCCTTCACAATGACCTCTCCACGTTGTCTAGTTGTGGGGAAGGGGGGATGCTATACAGTCTAGGCTTTTGAAAAGCATACATATTGATGTATTTACTATTGTCTTAAGTATGGGTATGCTTGGCTTAGAAGTTGGTTTTTATTTTTACGTTTTTTTTTTTCTTATTCAAAATACGATTTATTTTATATAAAAAAATGCCACAGGATCTAATTTCAGTTACTCCGGTTGATCTCATTGGGGGTCGTCCATAAATGAAGTCACACTCGTAAGGGGGGGGGGGTCCGTACTTTTGTGACGGTGTGTGATGAGGGGGAGGGGGGGGGGGTGTTCAGATGGTGTGACGTCACACTTTTGAATAATAAAACGGCAATGTTAGAAAACGAGTTTTAGCCGTTCTTTCGCGTTTTAGAAAACTGTTTTAATAAATTCTAATAAGAATTTATTAAAATACTCTGTTGACAGGTTTTAGAAAAAAATATCGATGTTTTAAGAGAAATTCAACTGCAATTTTGAGGGGGGTTGTAGGTTGAGGTGTGACGTCATTTTAGGGGGGGGGGGTCTGGCTTTTTGTGACGATGTGTGACGGAGGGGAAGGGGGGGGGGAGGTAAAAATCGTCAAAAAAGCGTGACGTCATTTATGGATGACCCCTTGTCTATCAAACTAATGTTTGTTAATATTAGGCTTGTTTAAGTTTTAAAAATAAAGGTAGGCCTACCTCTAAGAAACGACATAAACATTGAGTGGAAAACAGTCCGAATGATCATTATAGTTTAAATATTAGATATTAGCTATACTAAGGTATTCATTAGTACAATAGTAGCAGTGAGAGATAATTTCAAACTTCTTGTCTTTAAACAAATTATCTGCTGTTTACAGTTTGTTGGTTAGGTGAATAACTACACACTTTTGGCTGACTACTTTATTGAACTCAATATAGGAAGTGCTAAAATTAAATAGGCCTACTTAGATATGTTACTAACTGCAGTATACATTTCTACAACTTTTAAGATAAGGTTTTAAATTGTGACTACTATTAGCTTAACTTATTAATTGTATTATCATAAACAGTTGTTTTGTATTGGGGGAGGTTCTAGAAATGTAATATTACATTATAATGATTATGGGATCAAGATGGGTCTACTATTTTAAACTATTTTTGTTACATTCACAATCCTTTAAATATTAATTTTTTTAAAGATTTTTATAAAGTTAAAATCACGAAAGGAATTATTTTTAAAAATATAACATGATATTATTAATATGAATCAAATGTTTTAAAAAGTAAGTATTTTTTTAAATTTCTGACGCAACATCAAGTTTCACAGTTTAAAAATTTCAGTTTTGGGATTTAATTTTAGGATATGATTCACTTTAAAAAATGAGTGCCACCCCTAAAAAATGTCTGCTTTTTTGTGGTTTAATTAAATTTAAATCGGCAAGTTCAATGGTTATGCGCGTTGAAATTTATATGTAAAATAGCAGGGAATTTCTTCGAATAGCAGGGAATTTATACTTGAAATAGCAGGGAATTTCTTGGAATAGCAGGGAATTTTCTGGTAAAAAATTTGTGGGAACCCTGTAATAAACAAAAAACTAAGTATTTTTTTTTTAACACAATACTGGGTGAAATGTTAATTTGAAAGAGGAATATACAACCAGTTTTCCATGTCTTGTGGACGTATTATTTGAGGCAGAAATGTTAGTAAAATCTTGTACTTAGGCAGAGATAAACTGAATAGGATATTACTGTTCCGTATCTTTGTTGTTTCAGTTTTATTAAAATATGGTTATTACAATAAGATGAATCTATTTTTACACAGATTCGATGGAAATATATGATCATTGACGAAGGTCATCGTATGAAGAATCATCATTGTAAACTGACAGTTATACTCAATTCTTATTATAATGCCCCAAACAGATTGCTTCTCACTGGTACTCCTTTGCAGGTAAATATTTTTGAAAAGAGTTAATCAAATAACTTGAATATTTCCTTTTTTTTTAAAAAACTTCTAAAACTATCAAGAAATATTTCAAATCTTAATTAACACAATTTAAAATTTTTGAATACAAATAAATAATTTTTTTTCAGAATAAACTCCCTGAGCTGTGGGCTTTACTTAATTTCTTGCTTCCTTCAATTTTCAAAGCATGTGCTACATTTGAGCAGTGGTTTAATGCTCCTTTTGCCATGACAGGAGAAAAGGTATTATAGTATTAACACAGATTAATGCATAATCTTTACCCATATGCATTGTTTACTGGAGCTCTTCAAATATTAGAATTTCCTGGAAATCAATTTGTTTTTTAATTTTTAAGTGCATCAACCTTTCTTTTGAAATAAATGGAATATTATACTGAATTTACGCAGTTTATATATCCTTTATTTTATTTGAAATTTTTAAAATTTCTAGCATATTAATAAGTTACAGTATTCTTCTGATGGTTTTGATGGGTTTTTAGCTTTGTTTCATGATAATTCATTGTAAATTTAATTCAGGTGGAACTGAACCAAGAAGAAACACTTTTGATTATTAGGCGTCTACATAAAGTTCTGCGTCCATTCTTACTTCGTCGTTTGAAAAAAGAGGTGGAATCTCAACTCCCTGAAAAGGTAACATTTATTTATTGAGACAAAATGTAAATGATTGTTTAAATAATTGACTTTTTTTTTACTTTTATAACCATGTATTCTTATATTATTTGATAGGTTGAATATGTGATCAAATGTGACATGTCTGCACTTCAAAGGCTTATTTATAATCACATGCAAACCAGAGGTGTTTTACTGACAGATGGCTCTGAAAAAGATAAAAAGGTAAATTAAAATGTTTAAATATTTTTAAAAATGTAGATCTACATTCTAGAAGTATTATTACTTTTGAAGTAGTAGTCTTTATCGATTGTTTACTGATACCACTGAATGTTTTGACAGGGTAAAGCTGGAACTAAGACCTTGATGAACACTATCATGCAACTAAGGAAGATTTGTAACCATCCGTTCATGTTCCAACATATTGAGGAAGCCATAGCAGATCACATTGGTATTCATGGTAGCATTAGTGGGTAAGTTTTTAAAATCTTCCTATCATTGTATGGACAGAATTCTGTATATGTTGACAAACCAGAGTATTACAATAATTTATTTTTTCTTTTTCAAATTTTAACCAGTAGTACTTAATCTTCAGTATTATCTTGCCATGTAATCAGTTTATAATAACACTGACCAATAGCTAAATATAAAAATGACCTCATATTAATTTTGTCTTCCTTCATTTATTATTAAAAGATAATTATACATTGGTCAGGAGAATAATTAACATTAGATAAGTTATTTCCTGTTTTTATTACTTATTTTCAGACCCGAACTGTACAGATCATCTGGCAAATTTGAACTTCTTGATAGAATTTTGCCTAAGCTGAAGCAAACAGATCACAAAGTTTTGCTTTTTTGTCAGATGACATCATTAATGAGCATCATGGAAGATTACTTTGTTTATAGAGGTAAAAAGCTTATCAATATGCTTGATTTCTATGAATTGTTCACAGCATTTTCAAGCTGTTTAAATACAAAATTATTTCATTGCAGGATTTCGTTATTTGAGGCTTGATGGTACCACAAAATCTGAAGACAGGGGTCAGTTGTTGACCATGTTCAATGCTAAAGACTCCCCTTATTTTATTTTCCTGCTTAGTACTAGGGCTGGTGGATTGGGTCTGAATCTTCAGACCGCTGATACAGTTGTTATCTTTGATTCTGATTGGAACCCTCATCAGGTACATTAATATTTTATACATTAAATGTTTACAGTAAATGAACAGGTACAATTGTACATTCACCATGGTTAAAATAGTGCTTTTTTGTGTTATTGCATTATTATATCTGTCTTGAAGGATTTACAAGCCCAAGACAGAGCCCATCGTATTGGACAAAAAAATGAGGTTCGTGTCTTGCGTCTGATGACTGTCAACTCTGTCGAGGAGCGCATTCAAGCAGCTGCCAGGTACAAACTCAATGTGGATTCTAAAGTTATCCAAGCTGGTATGTTTGACAACAAATCAACTACAACAGAAAGAAAGCAGTTTCTGCAAGCTCTCCTAACACAAGAAGCAGATGAAGATGAGGTAAAATATCTAGCTATGTTTCTGTCCTGGGGTGTTAAAAAAATATTAAAAGTTGGCTCTTACAGCATTCAACCAGCATATATAGAGTTTTACCTAAAATTATAACCATTATCTATATATATACATCAAAGGGTTTTTCTTTTATTTAAAATTTAAAAAATAAAGTAATCACATAAATACATTTGAAGCTGACATTTACATTTTTAAAAATGTTATTTTTTCCATGTGGGTGAATTTTATTAAGAATTTTATCTATCATTGTGTTAAGCATCTATTTGAAGCCAGTGAAAAAACCCCTGGCTCAGGAGCCATCTTTCCTACTCGACTCAGCTTGGCTCCATCTCCGACTCAAGCTAATCAAGTAATGAAAGTGCGAATAATCATTGTTTACCAGTGATTATCAATACAAAAAAGTGCAGCTTTAACATTAATATTAATACAAAATTTAAACCTTCCAATTAAAGAAAAACAAAACAAAATAAATGGCTAATACCATGATTCCAGTAATAACAATTTATTCTTCAAACAGCCGAATTCCAGCATTTGAAGCTGACTACCCCTTCCTATCTTAAATTTGTATTATTACTATTGAAAGAAAAATATTAAAATATTAATATTAAAATAAACTTGCATATTTGTTATCACTTTCTAAATTAATTTGTCAAAAAGATTTGCTTGCTAAATAAAAAAAAAATCTTAATTGGTCTCTACTATTCATTTATATGATGATTATACCACTATGCTTAAAATAAAGAAAATATAACCTTTTCTTCACAGAATTTAAACATGTTATTTAATTGTGTATAAGTTATTACTTACTTTTGTTGCACTTTTCAATGTTAAACCTAATTGTTTGTAGGAAGAAGATGAATTTCCTGATGATGAAACAATTAACCAGATGATTGCAAGAACAGAAGATGAATTTGAACTCTATCAGGTATGTATATATGTGTTAAGTCATTTCTTTACAGAGTTTATTTCTTAAGCTTTTCATAATTAGTGTGCAATAATAATATAGTCGTTAAATTTTTTGTTCTAATTTCTCTTTTTTTTAAAAAGCGGATGGACATTGAAAGAAGACGAGCAGAAGCAAGGGAGGGCAATCGCAAACCACGTTTGATGGAAGAGAGTGAACTGCCCATGTGGATTGTGAAAGATGATAAAGAAGTTGAAAGATTGACAATGGAAGATGAAGATGAAAAATTATTTGGTAGAGGAAATCGAGCAAGGAAAGAAGTAGATTACTCAGACTCACTCACAGAAAAGCAATGGCTACGGGTAAATAATTTCATACATTAGAATTGATATAATTTTAAATTACTATTTTAGTTTTAATCCAATGCAAATTTAAATTATAGTATAGAAATTTAAACTATTAAACAGTATGTCAAGTGCCTAATAGTTTAATTTTAAATGGTAGATTTTTTACAATATCCAAACAATTGTTATTGTGAAACTTTCTTTGATAGGCTATTGAAGATGGAAATCTTGATGAAGTTGTTGAAGAGGTTACCAAGAAGCCCAAAAAGCCAAAGAAGCGCAAATCTGATGGAGCTACACCAGGCAGTAGCAAGAGGAAACAACACAGTTCATTAGATGATGAACCCAAAGAGAAAAAGAGAAGGGGTCGGCCACCTCTTGAGAAACAGCAGCCAAATCCTCCTAATCTAACTCGCATAATGAGAAAGCTGTATAATATTGTTGTCAATTATAAAGACAGGTGAGAACTTTATTATAAATACTTATTTATTTTAAAAAGAAATCTAAAACTGATAAATTTTTTAAACAAAAATTTTAAACAATTTGGACTCATTTTATTCATAAATAGAAAAAAAGCACTCTAAAATAATGAAAGCTTATTTAATTTAAATTGTTATTGTTTTTTTTTTTTTCACTTCCTTGAAATGCTTTTGATTCCAAGAAAAATATTTGGTTACAAATTATTAGGAATTTATATTTTTCTCTTTAGAAGACCATTTTCTTGAAACTCAAAGAATACTAATATTATTGTTTTGTTTGTAATGAAAAACATTGTAATCTGATATGCAAATGATGTATGGGTAATGACAAGCCACCCTTCTAGAGCCATGATGGTTGAACAGGGTGTTGGAAATTTGACTGGTTTTATGTATTTTTAGCGATGGGAGGGTGCTGAGTTCATTGTTTATGCGACTACCATCGCGCAAGACTGCACCAGAATACTATGAAATCATTCCCAACCCCTTGGATTTCAAGAAAATTAATGTAAGTCTTCTGCTGAGGTGAAATAGCGCGACTCTTGTCCTATTTCACTTCTCGGGGATTATAGTGCGTAGAGTCTTTTATTAGACCTAGATTATTTTGTTTTCCAGTGATGGTCGGGTACTGAGTAGTATGTTCATGCATCTACCATCCAAAAAGCTCATGCCGGAATACTACGAAATCATTCAGAAACCAATAGATTTCAAGAAAATTTCTGTAAGTCTCGCTCCAGTTCATTAAAACTCAAACATCCTAGAACACATCCATTTTAATCACTGTAAGAGATATCGGTGCAATTCATCTCAATTCACTGTCACTACATTTCACTATAAATCATACTGAATCCTACATCTATTCACATATTTTGAACAAAAACTAGAGCAGTCTTTTGTCATTAGAGCTAAGGAATCAAGCAAGTTTTAGTTAATGTTTTTTTAGTTTAGTACAATTTAATTTAAAGTTAGCTGAAGTTATGATTTGGTAAGTCTCACTGGTAAATAGGGTGTAACAGAATAAGAGATTCTAAATCTAATTTCTTTGAGCTATCACTTCTCTTCAAATACATCTATTTTATTTTAACCCATGCTATTCATATGATGAACCTCCATAATTTCTTTTAACTTCATTTGTAATATTAAGGTATTAAATAAATTGCTTTCATTTTTGCTATTATTTATAATTTTAAAAAATGCACTTTGATGAAATAGATACTCATTTTTTAAATTGTGCTAATATGTAACATTTAGATTTTAAACTATATTTTAAAATTATTGGAGAAATAAAATCATTTGTTAAATCTAGCCAATAAATTGTACACTGTTTTAGTCATCATTTTAAGTAGATCAAATTCATCTCTACAAAGTCACAGACACTTTTTTAAAAATGTTGTTTTCGTAATATGTGTTTTCAAAAATATAATTATCACAGCAAAATTTCTTTCAAAGAGATAAATGCCAAGCATAATAGGATTTCTCACTTTACTAACATAATTCAATTAAATTCAAATAATAATCATTACTATGAGAATAAAACACATTTAATAATATAAATTTATGTGGAAATTTTGAGGAATTTAAAATAAGACTCATTGTTCATTCCAAAAACTATTACATAACAGAAAGATGTACATTTGTTTCAACAATTTAAACTGTTTTTTCATTTAAAATATTTATGTTTAATCAAAAAAAATTTCTTTCAAAGACACGCATTTCCACACACCGTTATCGTACTCTGGATGAGTTGGAGGGTGATATAATGGAGCTGTGCCAGAATGCTCAAAGTTTTAATATGGAAGGATCTGTTGTAAGTTGTTATATTGTTTTCTCACCTGAGATTTAAATTAGGATTATTTTTGTAAAGCTTAGCATTACATATGAATAATTTATAATATTTCAGATATATGAGGACTCAATAGTATTACAGTCAGTCTGCACTAATGCTAGAGAAAAACTTGAAAAGGATTTGGCTAAAGGCAAGCAAGATGAGTCCTCTACAGAAGAGGAAAACAACAGTGAAGAGGAAGAAAAGGAAGAGGAAAGTGAAGAAGATGGAGATGATGAAGATAGTAGGTTTAATTTAATTTTTACTTACTTTAAGGCTAAGCAAAAAGGATACATTTTTAACTTCATTTTTAAATTTTTCAAAAACATCCTTTTTGTACTAAAAACTTGAAAGATAAAGAAATAAAAAGGAAAAATAGTTTTGTAGCTTTATAATTTACACAATTAAAAATAACATCAAACCTAGAAAGAAAAAAACCCTGATCTTAACTATTATTTCTATTAAAAAAAATTAACCTTTTTTGCCTCTACCTATTTTTACTCTCTACTCCATCAGACATGCATAGTAGTTTCCTTCTGCCAGATATTATTTGGACATGTAAACCAATCTCATAGGGTTTTAAAAAATATGTAATTTTGCACAAAATTAAATTTGGAATTAGAAAAAGTTTGAAATGGATGTGCAAATGGTATTAATTGAACATAACTACTTGATCTAACCATGTAGTATTCAGAAGATGAATATTTACACCCAGATTTAATAAAGGCTTAATTAGCAAATGGTTGAAATTATATGCACACCACTTTATTATTTTTAAAATTATTTTCCTGTTCAATATTTGTTTCCTTCAAAATCTTTGTTGCTAGTTAAACATTATTAAACAGAAATGAATGTAATATACATAGTTCTGGCACATTTGATAGCACTGCTTAAAAAAATCTCAGACACATTTTGGGCAGTAAAGGGTTAATTTAAGCAACACAGAATAATGAACAGTGTAATAATACTCTTTCTTTATCCAGGCCAAGCAACAAGATCGAGAAAAAAAAGAGATGGAGGGAAGAAAACTCCAAAAGAGGTAATATTTTGTGTAATAAGACTATCACACTAAAGAATCTTTGTTTTAAAAAGTAACATATGCAGTTATTAATATAGACATCACAGTAATTACTTGCATTATTTATAGTATATTGAGTTTTTTTAGCATTTTCTTCAAAGTATTTTATTTTAGTTATTATAATATCTTTTAACAGCCTGAAAAGACTCGCAAAAATGCCAAACGTAGAGCATCTGTCAAAGTGAGACATCAAATCATCAGTGATGATGAAAGTGAAGAAGAGAAGGTCTGAATGATACCTACAAAATTAGGCATTGTAAATGTGGTATGTGCATGCTCCTTTTATTTTTTGAAACCATTAGATGTGGGCTTTACTTTAGAAACAATATCCTTGAAACTTAACAGATCATTCCCATAATACAGTATATTTTTACTATTGAAACTTAACAGATCATTCCCATAATACAGTATATTTTTAATATTCAAAGAACTTTTTAATCATTAAAAGTTCGATGTTTTAAAACTCTCACAAAGCAATTTTTAAACAGTCACATTCGTTTTCTCATTACGATTAATTTTTTCTGTTTTACATATCTTACTTTTCTCTTCAAGATTACATCCCTATGTTATAGGATATAGGTAAAATATGTGCATAATGAAATACAATTTTATCTTAATTGGGTGTATCCTGCATATCCCACTTATTTTCTGAATAGTGGGTAATCTGTGTCAAAAGAAGATAGGTAGTCTTTGTTTTATGGCATAAACTAATTGAGTAGACTTTTAAAGCAATGTGAATGAATAGCTCATTCAACTATAGTCTAATTAATCTAGATATAATGACAATCAGAATATTTAAAAACATTTAGCTAGAGCATGTTACAGATATAATTTTGCTGGTGAAAAAGACACTATTAATGCTTTTTATATTTTATTTTTACTTAAAGTTTTTTTTACTTAGATCTATGTTTTTTTTTAAATATGAACTTGTGACTACTAAAAAAATGATGAAATTACAGGAAAAAAAAATTCACAGAACTTAAATATCAGTTTAATTAAAGAGGCTTTATATTTAATTGCTCAATAAAAATCCTGCAATGATTTTCCTAGTAATTGGATGTAGAGATAAAAACTTTTTTTGTTTAGCAATTTGTTTTTCTTGTACTTCATTTATAATTGTTTAACATGTCAAACTTCCTCAAGAGCTGTTGTACTGATGTTAAGCATGCTAATTGCTATTTTAAAGAAATATCTACTCTAAATTATGTTACCCCCACCCAATTGTTCTGCATGTTTTTCCCAATCTTTTCATGTTAAATGTTTAAAATTAACTATTTGTTAACAAAATATTCAAGTTTTTTATATAAATATTTTGATCTTGTAAAATGAATTATACATCATTTAATTTGGTTAACTTGTAGGGATACAGTTGGTCATGTTGAATACCCCAGTTGTAAATTAAAACCAATCTTTACTTTTTTTTAAGGATGAAGATGATGACAGAAGACCATCATCTAGATGTTCTTCAAGACTGTCTTCTGCAAGTAGTAGCAAGAAGCATTAAATCAAGAAATGCTGTGTATATAGATTTTTTTCTTTCATAGACAATACTGCCAATAGGGTTTACAAATGGATTGGACATGTATTGCTATTTGTTAGAATTCGTCTGTATTTGTTGTACAAATACTGTGCTATTTTGTATCAATGGATTATGATTTCTCTGCTTCCTTTTGGGCAATTAAAATTTTAGTACTTCATTGGTAATTAGTATAAATATATATATATTTTTTTCATGTTAAAATAAAACAAAATGAACTCAAAATCCTTATTATTAAGTTATTTATTGTACAAATGTCAAAAACAAAAGCTATTTCTTTAGTTGATCTTCTGTTATTGTATTAAAAACTTCATCTGTGGTATCTAACTGGTAGGAAAATTCAGGTTTGCGCTGCAAGCGAGAGACTTTAGCCTCAACTCTGTGAACATATTTGTCTGCCTTCTGATGCTTCAGGACCCGACGGAACTATAAATTTAAAAAAAAAGTAATGTTAAGTAAGCATTATCAAGAACTAAATAACATACTTATGAACCTGCAACAAGCAAGGTAACTTACATCATTGGGTGAAATGTAGTGAGGATTCTGATAAAGTGTAGCACCTCCAAAACTCCCAGCAAAAACTCTAATTGGATTCAAAACAAACCGTGGACCTGTAGAATGAGTTGTATTATGCATTTATTGTAAACTATTATATTGAGTCAAAACTGGATTAATTTATAGGACATAAATTTTACTCTTTAACAGTTAATTCGCAAAATCTTCCAAGTACATTTTGTCCATCAAATTAAAAAAAAAACTTCAACACACCTATTGTGTGTGGGTTTTAAATTTCTAGCACTGGAAATTTTTTTGTGGCCTAGCCTATTGAATTGATATATGATGGCACTTAAATACACATTGAGGGCATCATGATGATATAGATATTTGAATTAAGCCAAAAGAGACTCATTACAATTATTTTTGACCAATGAGAATAGTAACTTTCTGTTCCGATTTATCCAGATTCACCCCTAAAATGACAACAAAATGTTTTCAAGAAATAAAATTTTTATACTATTATTGTTACTGTTCTTAAGCCTCCCCATGTAATTATTTTTTTTTTCCTTTTAATGACAACCCTTATGCATATCAGGTTTGAAATATTTGTGCTAGTGGTATAATTACAGCCCAATTTTGGAATGCTCATCCGTTGGAATTAAAAAGTTAACCCCATAACATGAATTACCTCATTAAAATTTTCTTGCAAATATAACATTAGCAGCTATTTTTGTGTGTCAAGGCTGCAATATGGAATCCAGAAGAAAACACGTCTGGCCACAAACAGTGATACAGAAGCAAAATGTTGGATTGGAAGTTTTTGACAAAAATGATTTATCATTTCCAAAATAATAAGACATACCTATTTCAGCTAGTGAACCATCTTCAGCCAGAATCTGATAATTTCTAAACCAAATGCGATTATCTTGTATGGAGAAGGTGAACACATGATCAAAGAAGGGTTGACTTTTTGGGTGGTGATTAGGTGTACCAAATATCTGAATGATAAAATGTGTAAATCATACAAACAAGAGGTAATGGCAACATAAAATGTGTCAATCATACAAAATTAGATGTAACAGCACTCATACATAGAAAATTAGTTATTGGTCAATAAATTCATATATATATATATATAATATATAACAATTACCTGCACAAACAGTTCTTTAAGCAACTGCCACTGAGGTTCTGTATCAAAATTCTGTGTGAAATTTGAATTAATTGTAAGTGAAAATAAGGCAGATCATAGTTAAATTTAATTAACTTCAAATCTTTAGACTCAATTTTCTTTTACCTGATCAAATGACAAGAGGGGACGAGAACCTTTTAAACAGTTTCCTGTTAGTTTCAACTCACTCATTGTATGAACTGAAAGTAAGAAGTTTTCTTTCTTATATAAATTAAATGCAAACCCCCCCCCCCCCCCCCCCCGCACCAGCACAAGACAGGTATTGAAGCAAATTTGAACAATAAGGGCAAAGCAAACTGTGATATAACACTAGCCATTGGGAATTTAATGAAAAAAAATTAACATACCATTTTCTACAAGGAATTTTACTGATGGACCTTTTGGGACATTTGAAGCCCTGCGGAGAAAATGTAATAATTTAACAAAACAGTAAAGTGAAAATAGTATTACATTTTTATAGTTACAGATTAGCAAATTCAAATCATAGAATTAGACAAACTAGTAAAAAAATTCTTTACATTCGGGTGACAAATCAATTTAAATTAGTTTCTCTTAACAACTTAATTTTTTTTACCTAAAACGTTATAAAATGGTAATAACTATTAATTTTCACCGCTTTAAAATTTTGATGTTAGTTTTATTAGGTACTACGTGTGAACATTTTCACAACGCTTACCATAAATATAAATCTTGTTTTTTCTTGCCCTCAAAGTATAGACACTTGTTACAGTTTTTCATCTCGCAGATCTGAATAAAAAACAAGAACAATTATTGTGTAATAATAATATCAATCAAACAACAGTTTTGGAAAATCATTTTACTATGAAATGTATTTCACACAAAAACAATGAAAAAAAAATAATAATTAAAAACGGCAATTTTTTTCAATTTTATGATAAAATACTTTTGTTTTTACAATTTTCTCTTCTTCTGAAAATCACTTATTTTTCGACCATTTCTTTATTTTTGGACTTTATTTTTTGGGATTGGGCCACAAGGATCCTCCGTTTACCACTTTTTAAAATTTTATACAACAAAAAATGCAGTAGAATTAGAGTTTTTCTATAAAAATGATTGCATAAAAAGCGACCTAACCTCATTGATTATAAACAGCTTGTCCTTTCTGTCCATTTTTGGCTCTAAAAAAAAGAGAAAAGAACAGGCCTATAATTATAAAATTCCTTTAGGAATGATGTAAATGTTTATAAAATAAGCACAATAAATCTTAAAAATTACAGAAGCAGGAGTGTCGTTTTTAACAAACTATAAGGATTGTCCATAGTCTCTTTGATTCGTTTCACAACAATGAAAATTTAAATTGTTATGAGTTTGATAGCGACTCTTTACCAGTTAAAGATTTATACAGTGTTAGGAAAAGTGTGTGTTTAAAGGGAAGGCTGTATTTTAATCTGCAGACACAGGCCTGTATATAATACAATGGACAATCTAGACTATTTTAACAATAAAATTGTTTTAAGTTATGCTTAATGTAGGTATAGGGTAGAGGTGAGTGGAGGGCATTTTTGGTGGGTGGTTATGTTAACATGAAAAGAATACTGATTATTTTAGTCTAATATAACTGATTTACAAAAACTTAACCAAAAGAGAACATTTGGAAAAAGTCAGTTCTGATGTTTAATAAAAAAAGATATGTTGAGCTTTAGATTCAAATGGGTCTAGAATAGTCTAGATTTAGTAAACAAAACAAAATTGTAACATTGACGAAGTCTGCAACTAAGACTCTAACTCTAAGAAGTGAATAATTACAAGAAAAAGTACCAGCTTTAGAATGGGGCATCAGTGTTCGCAAATCATTCATCAGATGTCGTGTCCTGTAGGAAATTCCTCTTGAAGAAAACACCAAAACTCTTTGCTTGTTTGTCCATTTTTTCTGTGAAGAAAATACAAAAAAATTAAAAAGTTGCTAAACTTTTTACCTTGTTCTGCATCACATTTTATTTGAATCTAGAAATCTAGATCTTTAATCTAATCAATCTAGTACAGAAATAGGCATAGTTACGGCCTAGTATATTCATTATTTATTCATGAACGAGATAAATGACTGGTCTTCAAGTTTACCTAAGAGAGGGAGGGACTCAGCCACTCAGGGCCTCAGCCGGTGAGCCTTTGGACGCCCGAGTCAAACTAGTTATTAGACTATAGATCTAGATCTCTAGATCTAAATCAAATTGAAAATCAAATAAAACTAACCTGTCTTATAACTGGCGCGTCAGAGGAAACTACTGGTTGTAGCTTAATTTCTTGTTTGGACTTCTTTGTTTTTGGAGTATTTCCAACTACGGAACTTGCTTTACGTTTCGCCATGCCTAGTCTCCTGTTTATGTGGAATACGAAACAGATTCCTTGTTTTGAAAATCTCAATATCTAAATTGATGTTTGTATTCGCATTTTACTTTGACATATTAAATGTCTAACTGTAGTTTTAGTTTTTTTTATTATTAATATAATATTATTGTTTAAAAAGTAATTTTTTCCCCTAGTAATATGTTTTAGGTGTTTAAATAGGATTTCCTTATTTCTCTATCAAGTAAAAAATCATTAGATCTATTTATATGCAAAACATATTTTTCCTTTAATTTTAAATTTAAAATATTAAACATTTGAATAAAAATCTTAAATGTGTTTGACTGTTCGACATAAAAAAGCCTAATAAACAAACAAACAAAAGCACAGCTAAGAATAAACTTTTAAAAGCCGATTTGGTGGAGGTGAGGGGGCAACTGAGGTTGAATTACGACGACGTATTAAAAATGCTTTTGTATAGCTCTTTGGGCTTAAGATTAACTATAATAGTATAATGCAAACACTAACAGTATATTTATTGGGCATCTATTATCATTAATAAAATTATGCCCATAATACAGATTTTATATTATTAAGTTTTTACAGACAAGAACAACAGGAATAGTTAATAGGCTATATCAGATTAAAAAGATAACGGATATAATACACTAATTGGAGTTTGAAGGCTCCAGTTGAAATAGACCAAAACTGAATCAAAATAGTTTTTGTTACATAAAATATTTAATAGTAAAGCCTAGTGGTGCATCGATAAGAAATCATACCTACACAAGTTACACTACTCCATTTGTTTTAATTACAAATCGCATAACAGCTATTATTCCCCTTTATACTATTACTGACGTAACCAGGCTGATGGATTGTTCCTGTTATCTCCCCTTTTCTTTTTTTCAATTTAGCCATCTTTAAATTTGCCATCTTTAAATTAGTTTAATGGCTAATTTAATTGGATTGAAGTCTAGAATTAAAATTTGGCTTGCGTTGTCTTCAGAGACGAAAGAACCTGCATGTTTTCGATGCATTAGAAGTAGGTCAAAATCGAGTTACATAAGTTGTCATAAAACCACAGATTAATATAATAAATTAAAAAAAAACAACAATGGTGAACTGCAGTGGCGGAACTAGAAAAAATATTCTTTCTGGGCCCTCCTATATATATGAATTATATATATATATATATATATATATATATATATATATATATATATATATATATATATATATATATATATATATATATATATATATATATATATATATATATATATATATAATCTAACAGTGGCGTAGGCAGGGGGGGGGGGTTAGGGGGGTCATAACCCCCCCCATAGACCCCTCGGTATATATAAAAAGTATGAGGGGGGGTGCAAATCGAAAGTTTGAGGGGGGTGCAAATCGAAAGTTTGAGGGGGGGGGGGGGGTGCAAATTGTAAGTTTGAGGGGGGGGGGGTGCAAATCGAAAGTTTGAGGGGGGGTGCAAATCGAAAGTTTGAGGGGGGGGGGTGCAAATCGAAAGTTTGAGGGGGGGTGCAAATCGAAAGTTTGTCCCCGGGTAAAAATTGGAACCCCCCCCCCCCCCCTTGAGATGATCCTGGCTACGCCACTGTAATCTAACACAGAATACAAACATTGGATAGTGATTTCTGGCCTGATCGGGTTTCGAAAAAAAAATGTTCTTTTTTTTTTAATTTAAAAAAATGACAACATGTCATGTGTGTGAGTGCATTAGTCTGTTTGAATTTATTTCTTTTTGTCTTTTTTTTTTAGATTTAGAACTAGTTTATGTTTGCTGCACATTTTGCCTACCCTCTAGTCTTTAGCCGGTCACAAGAATATAAAGCGTGAAAGTTTTGTATGTGTATATTTATTTTTATGTTTTTTTGTATTTGTATTATTTGTTTTAAATATATTTCCTTTTTATGCTATGTCAATCTTTAGTATGTATTTAAAAAAAAAAAATAGTTAAGAGAAGTAATTGCTTTTTAATTTGTTTAGTACAAATATATTAAAAGGAGCTTTTAAGCACCCCTATTTAACCATTTTAAAAAGGGAAATAAGTCATGGAAGTATTTTGAACGTTTGCTTATCTTTCACGCTACAGCTCAGGCAAATATATTTTTTTACGCAACAGCATGTGTTAGCTTCTGTATAACAACACTACTGTAGTAGATCTGTTTGTTATTTACAAAAGCTTTTACCGTCAAATCAAAAATGCAAGAAAATTATTTTTTTCTAACTATACATTTTTTATTATGGTCGGCTATGGGCCCCTAAATGGCGTGCCCCCCCCCCCCCCCCGCATTCACATTGCGGGGTCTGGCGGCACTGTAGTTCCGCCCCTGGTGAACTGAATAAAAGCTTACTAAAACCATTGCAATACGCAAAAGAGGAGATTTAAAAAAGATTTATTTGTTACCATTATGTAAAGTTTGGCAGCATAAATTCATTTTTGTGTTTTAGTTCTGTTTTTAAATTATTTTAAAAGCTTACGTCTGCAAACCCGAAAGTCTGGCTTTCGGATCCCGGGCTCGAGACCGTAGGACGCCTCCTAAATCCACCCAGCTCTGATGGGTACTTGACTGAAGTTAGGGAATGCCTCGGTCATTGAAACAAAATGGATGAACTATACTTACTTCATCTGCCCCATGTGTCTTAGGCACGAACGTAAAAATATGTTAATTGTGTCAATTTGATAATCAGACCAAAGCTGATTTTGATATATATATATATATATATATATATATATATATATATATATATATATATATATATATATATATATATATATATATATATATATATATATATATATATATATATATATATATATATATATATATATATATAATTATAATAACAGATATAAACAGTTTCTTTTAAACATTTGGGGAGGGGACACTTAAAACCTTTATGGGAGGTGGGCGCACTTAAAAATTGTAACATTTTTAGAGGTTTGGGGGGGGGGGGGGGGAGAGAGACACTGATCAAGTATTTATTTTCTAAATAAATTATATATTTTTGCTTTTTTTTTTTGTGGGGCGGGGGTGGGTAAGACGAAGACAAATACATGCCTAAAAGAAACGGGTTAAAAAACTTCACCAACTGAAGACGAATTGAAGTCCCACTGAGGTACAAACACAGACCCAACCACAACGTACGATCGTCATGTTGTTCTTGTCACGTAGGCCAATCGACAAGCTTGTCTGATACGTCAATCACTAAAATAAAACGTCATAGCTGATAACTAAGTTAATAGGGGGAGTGGGGAGGGTAAGAAGGGAACTGATGACCGTGGTAATAGTTCTCTTAGGGTGTAAAGAAAATGAAAGCAGGGGGAGTGGAAGGTGGGAAACCTGCTCTACCTGCTTCTATGGTAATTACATCATGTTTCAAGTCCTATGTAGAGATATGGAAACTAGGAGTGTGGTTTAAATTGCGATTTTTCTTCTAATTATTGTGCTTGAGAACACACATGAAAAAGACAGGGCTACCGTAATACAGTTTGTGAATCTTTGTTTTACTATCACATGATGTTACTGTTAGAACTAAAGGTCCGTAGGGGGTGTTAGCTGGGGGGTTAAACACGCTCCCAAATAACCCATACACACACACACACACACACACACACACACACACACACACACACACACACACACACACACACACACACACACACACGAGCATACGCACACACACACACACACACACACACACACACATATATATATATATATATATATATATATATATATATATATATATATATATATATATATATAGGTAGGTAGGTAGTCTATAAACGTGCACACATTTGTGTATTCCTCCCCCCTCCCCCCACCCCCCATTATCAATTCCTGCCTACTGACGGTCACACAATTTAAGAACCTCTCAAGGTGTCCACGAGAAATACACGTTCAGGGTAGTATCGCCCCTAATAACGTGAGAACCCTTGTGTATGTTGGAGTATAAGAACAGACGACCGCGTTGATTTCACACTGTCACACAGAGATGCGCGTGGGAAGTATTTAATCACCAGACGACCAAACGCGTCACTGCTGTTACTTTTTAGCTGGCCTGAATTCAGCCGCTCAAAACTTCGTGCAGGGAAGCTAAACTTTTGCTACAAGGTAAGTGGTCGCTCTTGTGATTAGATTTCCTTGTGTGAAGATTAATTTATCTAAAGCGAAGCATCGTTGATTAAAAACAGTTTGTCAGGTTAAGAAAATTAAAGTTATTTTTAAAAAGAACACCACTTAGCCTTTAAAAAAATTAAGAAAAAAATGGTTTTAGAATAACGAAATAAGTTACTTAAATTTTAAGTAAAAGGCTTTGTGGTGGTTGTTATTTGCTTTCTAGATCTATGTGAAAAAAAAATTCTCCATTCTGTTTATTTTTGCACTGAGCTCCGTTTTAGCTCCAGTAGATCTTGCAAATACTCTGTTTGTCTATCTTTGATATAAGACAGCTTTTAATTTTAACTTATATAAATAGTTTTAACTAATATAAATAAAGTAATTTATTTTTTTTTAATTGTGAGGTCTGAAGTTCGTACAAAAAGCAGATTTGATTATTCAGCAAAAAAAAAAACAACAACACAATTCTGACATATTTGCCGTGTGGTCGGGTATGATGAGCCTATATTTTTCCGTTTTTCATGCCCCTCCTCCTCCGCTAAATAATGCTTTTAAAACATTTATTTAATTATGAGAAAGTGTTAAATGTTTGAAACGAAAAGTGCTACTAAGCAAATAAATACAATGTATAGTTATAAAAAAAAAGAATTACATAGTTTTCCAGAGTTATGCTTTCAACAAAAAAAAAGCGTTATTTCCCCTTAGTGTCAACTTCACCAGTCACTGATTGTTTTTTCCTCGTAACAGCTTAGCTTTATTTATGGATATAATCCTTTTGTTGTTGGAGGGGTGGGGGAGGGGGTGGGGGGGGGGGGGAGGAGACCAAAAGGTACGGCGCACAGATTTTATAATACGCATAGATGGCGCCATCATGCTGTCTCATGACGACAAGTCACGTG